GTTAAAAATCGAATTGCACAACATCAAGGAAGCTCTCCTACACCTATATTTGAAACAGTTGCAGCTTTAGCTAAGGGTACAGAGATATTAGCTCATGAGATGACACTTATCAGTGCTGAGATTCGTACTCTTCGAAAGGCAAATGAGGCATTGAGTAAACGTCGTAGAGCTAAAAAGAGTCGAATTCGTCAAGGAGGAACACTTAGTATACAAGATGGATGTGATATTATATTACAGACCGATGTAGATAATCAGATTCGACGCGACGAATGCTTTAAGAGGGGTAGTTCAAATGGGGAACAATCAACTTTACGTCGTTGTGGCTCTTGTGGTAAAACTGGTCATAATATACGAACTTGTCAGGAGGATTTAGAAGACTCTAGTTTATCAGATTCTGAATAGTTTCAATTAATTTTATATGTTGTGATTATTGAATAATATTTTGAAATGATTGAGTAGTGAAAAAGTGCGCGAGGCACTGATATGCGCGACGCACTGATAAACCACGTTATCCAATATCCAATATCCAATATCCAAAAATATGCAAATCCAACCCGAACCTTCCATTACATAACATAACATAACATAACCCACCATTATTCAAAGTAAAGAAACCAATTATCATCATCACCACATCATCATCATCCACATGTATACACACAATCATACCCCCTCTCCCTCCCCCTCCCCCTCCCCCTCCCCCTCCCTCTTCCCCAGCCCTAAACCCCAACTCCAATCTCCAATCTCCAATCTCCAATCCCCAAATCCACATCCTCACAATATAAATAAACCCCCCCTCCTCCCCCCCCACCCCGCACCAGGTCCAGGGCGGCTAATGAAGAAGCTGCATTTGACTGCACCCAGTACTCTCTCGGCGACTGGCATGAAACTGTCCAATGCGGCTTATGCCAGGGCAGGTGATCCACACATCCAGGCTCTCTGGGGATGGGAGTCTTGTAGACAGCTTGAGCAAGTCAAGAAATGCCAATTCCATTTCTGATACTTGTTAAAGTACTGTCGAGTGCCCAAACCCAAACCTAAACCCTAAACCCTAAACCCCAAACTCCAAACTCCAAACTCAAAAATCCACCACCATAAAGTTACCCAATATATCCAAGAGTAGTCCCACGTGCAAAATCCTCATATATACCTACATCCCTCAATACACACCACACCATCCCAAACCACCATCCCAAACCACCACCCCATCACATCACATCACATTACACCACGCCACACCACGCACCATACCCAAGAACCCTAGATAGAGTAGATAGAGTGCATATCAGTAAATCAACCAATATACTCGTAAAGAAACACCACAAGTCTTCCCACCCACCTACTTAGACGAATCGAATCAAATCAAATCAAATCAAATCCAGTTCTTCAAATCAAGAACAAGAAGAATATCAAATTTCACATACTGTAGCTATACTAGAATCATTGTGTCTACTCTACAGTAATGAATGCACGTATATCATGCTCTGCTCTGCTCTGTTCCGCTCTGTTCTGCCCTACTCTGCGAGTCTATCCAAATATCTGAATATGAATATGAATCCAAGCTTGAATTGAACATGCCGTACTACGCGAGTACTGTATATCACGGATTATACGAGTATGAACGATCAAAGTAGTGAGTTGAAGTTACAGTAGGTAACAAGATATCGACACACCAGCTATGGTAAGACTTACACAGCAATGTAATGCTTGTGAACTCTCGTCTGATGGTTCAATAGTCGTATCACGAATTTGACCATGATTAGGTAGGTAGGTAGGTATCTTGAAAATAAATGCTATATGATATTCTTTCATGCCAACCTTGTCTTACAGATAGTTAGATACTCGTAGTACTGTACAAATTATACACATTATACAAGTGATGCAGGTAGAACCTTTAAGAAAACTGAACTCCCCAGGACCGATTTCCCAATGCCATGCAGACCCGAACCACCGTATTGTACATCCCGAGTCAACTGAAGCGCTTTCAAATTGACGTTTCTCCTATATCCCATAGCCCTGTATCCATCAAGAACTGCATATTTAATCTCTTGTTTTTCTTCCTCCGTTTATTCTGTAATCTCTTGCTGGAGACCCAGAATTTTGCCTCATCAAAAAGAATTCGTCCGGCAATCCGAACTCGAGTTCTTCTGGAAGATCAGGAACGGGATGGCCCCAGGCGATAACGCTTCTACCACTACGTCGGTACTTTCCAAGTGCTGCATCGCGTAAATATGGTTTTGGGAAGAATGACGTGAATTCTCTCTCCACAGTAGGGGCTGCAGCAAGAAGCGGTCCAAAAATCGAGTTTGGTCCAGCTCCAGGTCGAGGAGCAGAACTGGCGATTGCCTCATCATGCAATTGCCTTGCCGCAGAAGCATCAATATCACTAAGATCTGGAGGATCGCCATTGCTTTGATCGCCGATGCTTTCGAAATCATCCTCCGACTCTTCGCCTTCTTTGGACTCTGCTTTGACTGTTGACTCCGCCTTAGCTCTTGCAAGTGCTTCGGCTATCGCCCTGTCCTTCATCAACTTCCTTTGCTTGTCGTCGTCCTTCCAGATCCGGAACTTCTCAAGGATTGTCTCGCACCCTTTTATGAAGTATTGTCGTGCTGAACCGAATTCCTTCTTCCTGCTTTCGGTAATGCCACTGATGCCAAGAGTCTTCAACCAATCCGGCCCTTGCAAGCCTTCCATCAGTCGAATGACCGAATCTCTCTCATGTTGGGCGCGGCTTTTATCAGCGTTTCGTACAGCTTTTTCTTGGCGTTCTGGTCGTTTGTGGAGCGTCTTGAAGTGCTGCTCGGATAGAGGATCCTCATCACAGGTCACAGCAGTCCTTGACCAGAAACTCACTTCATGTTTACCTTGAAGATTGGAGAAGAGAGAGGATGGGTATTTTTTAACTGGATAATCGCCGTAATGCGGATCAGCCCGGTCTTTGACTCTATCTAGATATTCGTCCTCCTGCCTCTCCCTTTCCTTCTTGGTCATACGCGGTTGTTTTATCTTGGAGCTATCAATGATAATGATTGGCGTGTCGGCATCTAAGAAATCTGGATAGGGAAGTAAGCTACGGTTTGAGTATCCAATTTCGTTGTAAAACCTACGTTCTTCTTTTGGAACATTTCCAATGATTTCATCATACTCTGGGAAGTACGCCGACAATTCACTCTTAAATTTCGTCCCTTGCGATCGAAGCTTCCGCCTCTCGTCCTTTATGTCGGACTTGGTGACCTGTTGCCTATCCTGTAATCGGTCCAACTCATGTCTGATGCCATTGGCAACTTTATTGCGATGTTTTGTAGGTTGTGGTTGATGTTTCTGGGTTGGTTGTTTCTGAGTTGGTGATTTCTGAGTTGGTGATTTCTGGGTTGGTGGGTGTGCCGTTCGTACATCTGCTGATGATGCTATTTGTAGCTGTTGCACGGAGTTCGCAGAGGTAAGGTCGGGATTCGCGTTCGATTTAATAACGCCGGATCGTTTTCGTGGTGGAAGCGACTTTATTTTTGGAGGAGGGATTTCGATGGCGAACTTGGTTCTCTTGACTTTAGATAGTAGATGATCGTCGCTATCAACGGATTCTCGTGCTCGTTTTCTGCCATTGACGTTGGACTGAGTATGCTGCGTATGCGTATGCGCTTCAAGGTTATGGATGGCGCCTGGAGACATCGCGGATGAGTAGATGAGGAGAGCTTCAGACATTTTCGAAGATCTTGTGTTCAAAGACATTGAAAGTTATGATGCTCGTAAATCATAAACATTTAATTGTCATGAAATAAAATGTAATCTGCAACAGCGACAGCGACAGCGACTGTGACTACAACCAAGAATGAACCAGATCTTTTCTGGCTTGTCTGTCTGAACATGAAATGTATTAGCAGTAGCAAGCGATCAATTCACTTTGGAAAATTCACACGCGCAGGGAAGGTACGATGCAATTGTACAAATTGTACGTCAGAAACCAAAATGTTATTGATCGCGAAGAGGTTCTTTACCTATTATTGTAGTATTCAATAAAATCCAATTCCTTCAATTCATTGTGTTTTGAAGATTTGTTATATCGTATCGTCATGGGTAACACAGACAGAATATATTTATTAAAAGCTGCCAACACGCTAATTTTCAACTAATAGTAAAAAAAGACACACTATAACAATAGTACATACAGTACAAGTTAGCCCATCTACAGTAATTGCCTCTGCCTTGGCAATATCCAAGTTGTGTTTAAACCAACAATAAGAGTCAAGTAACTTGGTACTCAAGTACATACACTCGAGTACTAATATTTACCTATTCAATTTGATGTTGATCACTGAATTAACATATCTCTCATCTCTCATCTCTCACCATTCAGCGGAATTATCGATGTAGAATGCAATCCGGCTCATTGGGCTCTGTAGCAAGTGCCTACCTTAGTATTTACAAGGAGAACTCAAGTTTGGTCTCTTATACTGCTTTGATTTACCCTTTCCTTTCTTTATTTTATATGCTTGTTTTGGCTCAACATCAGTGGCCCTGAACGATTATTATACTCTGTATATACATACCTATATATTATGGCCAAGGTGATGAACATAGAATATATCTCTCGTTCCTTATTTAGGCAATCCATTTCTTCAAATTATGTATATTCGATATATATATTATGGTCACGATAATGAACTTAAAATATATCTTTCAGTCTCATCCTTCATTTCTTCATTTGGGCAATCCATCTCTTCAAATCGCTATATACTCGGTATATATACTCAGTAATATATCTTCTAGTATCTCTCATCCCTCATTTAGACAATCTATCTCTTAAAATCTCTTAATATCGGTGGCTCTACACGATTATATATACTCGGTTTATATAAATATATTATGGCCAAGGCGATGAACAACATAGAATATATACTCGTATATCTCTCGTCCCTCATCTAAGCAATCCATCTCTTTAAATCTATAAGTTCAATCAAGACATTCATAACAAGTTATCTATTTCTTTGCATAGTCTTCTTTATCTCTAGAATAATATTATCTATTCTTCTTCCTCTTTCCTAATATAATTACTTGAATCCATAAGTGCAATCAAGATATTCATAACATCTAGTTGTATATTGGTACGTACGATCTACTCGAGTACTCTCCTCCCTCCTTTCCAATCCATCTCTTCAAATCTGTAAGTTCAATCAAGACATTCATAATATCTACACGAGTCTATTGACCTTCTTTCCAATTTATCTCCTCTAATCCGTAAGTCCAATCAAAACATTCATACCAATATTCGATACTGAATTCACCTTCTACAGTCACATTTTACAGTCATATTCTACAAGATGAGAATTGTTCAACTCGGATCTTACTAAGGAACACTGAAGATATATCGTCGTCACTTGAAATCTATCTGTAGTTAAAGCACGAAGAGTACAATCTCACCAACGGAAGTGTAGATGAAAATGTTATACTGTATTGCGTTCTATGGTCTAGGATTTAAGGAGATATCATCGAGTTTTGAAAGGATAGTCTAAGAAGGGAGGATAGATTACTTCTATGGTTTAGTATTTTAGGCATTTCATCGACTTTTGGAGGGGCAGGTTGGGAAGGAAGGATAGATAACGGTATTTCTGTGGTTTAGCACCTAAAAGAAATATCGTCGAGTCTTGGAGGGACAGGTTAAGAAGGGAGTATATGATACTGCCAATAAACACAGCAAGTTCTCATATCATCCAGATGTGCTGGTTGCTTTGTAAACCAAATCGCCTTTCCTTTCCTCGTGTAATAATTGTTGAATGGTCGAGATCCTCTTATATAGTATAGGTGATATATAGATGTATTCTCTTGCTTAATCCTAAGGTAAGTGATCAAACAATAACATTGTTCGAGAGTTTAGTAGACATCCATGCATTGGTTCAGGTTTAGCGTCATTAATTTGTGACGAAACCATATCAAAGTATATGAAACGATGTGGGAAACATATTATATCCAAGGGGTATTTCTTTATACGGAGATCATCAACTTTCCTTCATTGATAAGATTGTGGACTTTGAGATAACGGGTTTTCTTCATGAAAAGAATAAATAATTTTATTGATTCGCAAGCCTTTTGCGCAAGTTATGGAGATGAGAGTCAATGCAGCAAGCAGCATACTCTGACAAACTTAGCAAACCATACCTGAAAATATGTATAAACGCATTGACTTTTGGAACATGGAGAAAAGTGTTACGATTACAGATTCGAGTTTATTGTGAGACGAGGTCCTTGTACTGAGTAACTGACTATCTGCTTAATTTTCCAACTAATAAAAGAGTCAGAACGCAGCCGGGGCCCTTTGTGACATCTTCGCCTCAACTTCTTATTCCCCTACAAACACTTTGTCTTTTTTCTTTTGTTACCTTCTATTCAAACTCAACTTTCTCTTGATTCCTTCGTTCCTAATCAACTGATTTGACATCACCAAAAATACATTCTTTCTTGGGCATCTTCTTTCAGCAACTCTCCATAAATCGAATTTCAGCCGCTTTTGAGTGCCCGCGAGTCAACAATCAAGCAAGCTTTCGGAAATCTGATATGACCACTTTAGAGTAAAGATACAGGTCTTTAAAAAATTAATCTCAGGCGGAAGCAGGCCTTCTGTTCTTACTTACCTTCCTTCTTCATATACATATTAAATTTATGTTTGTTCTCCCATCCAAATTGGTCAATCGATAAAGACCCTTGTCGAATGCGACCATCTCGGTCGATCCATGCAGCTGACGGAACGCATAGTAATACGGAGTGCACCGATTAGTCCGATACGAGATTGATATATAAGTTTAGCTACGCCCAGCTGTTTACAACTGTTGCAGCTGTAAACTATAGATATGGCTCCAACATATTTGAAGGTCTCGACGAGAGGCGCAGGCTCGAAGAGTCTCGCGACACCGACCGCGCACATGGCGACAACGACTGTCAAGGTTGGTGGCATGACTTGCGGGGCATGCACATCTGGGGTGGAATCAGGATTCAAAAATGTGGATGGTGTTGGAAATGTATCGGTGAGCTTGGTAATGGAAAGAGCTGTGATTATCCATGATCCACAAAGGATATCGGCAGAGAAAATACAAGAAATTATTGAGGATCGCGGTTTCGATGCAGAAGTACTGGCTACGGATTTACCATCTCCCATGTTCGATAGAAGCGGACACACGTACGATACCAGTGACACTTCCGACGATGAAGATATAAATGATGCGCCGATAACTACAACAACGTTGGCCGTGGAGGGGATGACATGCGGGGCTTGCACATCAGCAGTAGAGGGGGGTTTCAAGGATGTGCTGGGCGTGAAAAGTTTCAGTATTTCACTACTGTCGGAGAGGGTAGTGATCGAACATGATACTACAATATTGAGTGCAGAACAGATTGCAGAAATTATCGAGGATAGAGGATTTGGAGCAACAATTGTCGAATCAAATACAGCTAATTCCCCTTCACGAACCCGCAAATCACGCCGCGACAGCGCTTCAAAGAAAGAACAGGTCGCCACAACTACTGTTGCTATTGAAGGCATGACTTGCGGTGCCTGTACATCCGCCGTTGAAGGTGGATTCAAGAATCTAAATGGTCTTATACAGTTCAACGTCAGTCTACTCGCGGAACGGGCTGTGATTATCCACGACCCCTCCAAGCTCCCCGCTGAAAAGATCGCCGAGATTATCGATGACAGAGGGTTCGATGCCAAAATTATTTCAACACAGTTAGGTTCCGGCCAACAGTCAACAGCTACTACATCACAGTTCAAGCTATTTGGGGTGGCATCGGCTGCTGATGCAACAGCTCTAGAGTCGAAACTTTCATCACTGCCGGGTGTCAATTCTGCAACAGTCAGTCTTGCCAAACATCGATTGACCGTTTCTCATCAGCCGAATATCGCTGGGTTGCGAGCTCTCGTCGACCTTGTCGAGGCTCAAGGCTATAATGCCTTAGTCGCCGACAATGACGATAACAATGCCCAACTCGAATCTCTTGCAAAAACTAGGGAGATCACCGAGTGGCGTACAGCCTTCAAGACCTCCCTGAGCTTCGCTATCCCGGTTTTCTTAATTAGCATGGTATTTCCCATGCTTATCCCAATCTTGGATTTCGGAAGTTACATCGTCTTTTTTCCAGGTTTATACCTTGGTGATATCATTTGTTTGCTCCTCACGATACCCGTCCAATTTGGCATTGGAAAGCGTTTTTATATTTCTGCATACAAGTCTTTGAAGCATGGTTCACCTACAATGGACGTGCTAGTTGTTCTTGGGACATCCGCCGCTTTCTTCTTCAGTATTGCAGCTATGATTGTTTCCGTCGTCCTTCCCCCTCATTCCCGTCCAAGCACTATCTTTGACACAAGCAGTATGCTCATTACTTTCATCACTTTGGGACGATTTCTTGAAAACCGAGCGAAGGGCCAAACTTCAAAAGCACTATCTCGTCTCATGTCTTTGGCTCCTTCTATGGCAACCATTTATGCCGATCCAATTGCTGCTGAGAAGGCAGCCGAGGATTGGAATACCAAAGAATCAAAAGTCGATCACGCTCAAGAGGGCAATGCCGCAGAAGAAAAGATCATACCCACTGAACTTATACAAGTGGGCGATATTGTCATTTTAAGGCCCGGTGACAAGATTCCTGCCGATGGAACCGTTACACGAGGTGAGACTTATGTGGACGAAAGCATGGTTACCGGGGAGGCAATGCCAGTCCTGAAACGAAAAGGAAGTCTACTCATTGGGGGTACTGTAAATGGTGCCGGCAGAGTCGACTTTCGTGTTACACGAGCTGGCCGTGACACTCAATTGAGTCAAATTGTAAAGTTGGTCCAGGACGCACAGACTACACGGGCACCTATTCAACGACTTGCTGATATCATTGCTGGCTACTTTGTTCCATTCATTCTTTGCCTCGGATTTCTCACATTCGCAACATGGATGATTCTTAGCCATGTCCTCTCGCACCCACCGAAAATTTTCGTGGATGCAAAGAGTGGTGGGAAATTCATGGTTTGTGTCAAACTCTGCATCTCGGTTATTGTTTTCGCTTGTCCGTGCGCTTTGGGTCTTGCAACTCCCACTGCTGTGATGGTAGGCACTGGTGTGGGTGCAGAGAATGGCATTTTGGTCAAAGGTGGTGCTGCTCTTGAGACGGCTACTAAAATTACGCAAGTCGTTCTCGACAAAACTGGCACAATTACCGTTGGCAAGATGAGCGTGGCCAAGATCAATTTGGTTTCTACCTGGAAGAATAATAGATCGCAGAAGAAGCTCTGGTGGACAATCGTTGGTCTTTCGGAAATGGGTAGTGAACATCCTATCGGTAAAGCTATCCTTGCTGCTGCTAAGGAAGAACTTGGAGTGGGTTCCGATGGCACTATTGATGGAAGCATTGGCGACTTTGAAGCTGCAGTTGGTAGCGGTATTAGTGCTTTGGTTGAGCCTGCTATTAGCGCCGAACGTACTCGTCACAGAATCTTGGTCGGGAATGTTCGCTACCTCAAAAAGAACAGTGTATCTGTTCCTCAAGATGCCATCGACTCCTCCGAAGCTGCAAATATCAAAGCTGCTGGATTGTCTAAAACTTCATCAGCTGGCACAACCAATATTTTCATTGCTATTGATGGTTCTTATTCTGGTCATCTGTGTCTTGCGGACACTGTCAAAGAAAGCGCTGTCGCAGCTATTGCTGCCCTTCATCGCATGGGCATTAAAACCGCCATTGTTACAGGTGATCAACGTCCAACCGCCCTTGCAGTCGCACGCATTGTGGGCATACCTTCCGAGAATGTCCATGCTGGAGTAACCCCTGACCAAAAACAAGATATCATTCGCGACTTTCAATCTCGTGGAGAATGTGTTGCGATGGTGGGAGATGGAATTAATGATTCTCCTGCTCTCGCCACTGCAGATGTCGGTATTGCTATGGCTGGTGGTACTGATGTCGCTATGGAAGCCGCGGACATTGTTCTCATGCGACCTAATGATCTCATGGATATTCCTGCCTCTATTCATCTCGCCCGCTCGATCTTCAATCGGATCAAACTTAATTTAAGTTGGGCATGCGCTTACAATATTGTCGGTCTTCCTTTTGCAATGGGTATCTTCCTTCCCTTTGGATACCATCTACATCCTATGGCAGCAGGTGCAGCGATGGCGGCTAGTAGTGTGAGTGTAGTCGGCAGTAGTCTGTTATTGAAGTTCTGGAAGAGACCAAGGTGGATGGAAGATGCGTTGGTAGAAGAAAAGGGACAACTGAGAAAGAAGGGTCACGGATGGAGATTTGGAGGATGGAGTGGAAAGATCTCAGATGCGTATAGAGCTGTTGTCGGAGGAAGTAGAAGGGACGAAGGAGGTTACGTACCTCTGAACACGCTCGAACCTGTATAAGTCAGAGTTGGATATCGAATCGAAGTTTGTTTGTTTTTCATTGCAATATATCACCTTTGGTTCTTGGGCGTTTTCATAAGTTTACCATTTAGACTTACCGGTCTGTCAGTATATGACGGTTCAAGCTATTTGTATGTATGTGTATTGCACAATTCCAGTTTTCTTGGTCTATACCTAGATAGATAGATGTATTTAGAAAAATGACAGGAATTCAAAATACACACAAGACAAGGCTTTTTGCTTCAATACAATATTCAATGTCCCACGCTATTGATACTACTAATAGTATGTTCACCATTTCTCTTACTCGAAATTTTGATGATTGGTAGTACTAACTCTCATCTTATTTCTACTTTGGAAATTGAAGTCAAACGGGATATACTCGAGTATAAATACAAATTCTGATAGTATTTTCTATTCTCTCATGGAGAATGTATGTTATCTATCTATCTATATTCCTCCCCCAGCCCACCAGTAGAGTAGTGAAGATATCGACCTAGTAGATATTATATTATACTCATAGATAAACAGATCTCCATGAGCAACGCATACACTCTCTGTACCACGTATCACATACTATACTATTCGACCTTCGCTCCATAGACTGTCGGGATAGATTTTCCATAGATGACTGCGAGTGGCGGGTAGCGATTAGCATCCGAGAGTTCGGCACGAAAATGCAATTCTTTTTTGAATTGCAGGGTTTCGGCAAGTTGTGCGGCGGAGATAGGCGCTCCGATTCAGTATGGATGTCCGAACGGGTATCCGGGCGTTACTATACTTACTATATTGCTGTGGCGAAGATATGGAAGTGCTTGTTTGAATTGGATTGGATTGGATTGGATAGATAATATACTGTGTAAAGTAGGTAAGTAGGTAAGTAGGTAGATAGGTATCTCATCGTGACACAAAAACGCCTTGTTACGAAAATCAGGGGCTGAAAATGTTTCTTATGTACCTGGTAGGTACTAGGTATGTTTTACATGCCCAAGATATTAGAGAGTTGATTCTCGGAATCGGGTTTTACTACGGTATGTAGGGTTTTGCTGGGTTCAGTGGGTTCGAGGAAGATGGAATGGAACGGAACGGAACGGATTGGATGAGAAGATATTGGGTTAGGGTAAGAAGGAGGAGAATGTGGAATGGGATAATGGGATATGGATAAAGGGGAAGGAGGGAAGAGCGATTCAATTGTATAATGGCTGAATGTAACTCGAGTATGGTAGGTAGGTAGGTAAGACTTACATCGGTCTTTGGAAAGGGCGAGCTTCCGATTTCTTTTTTCTTTGTTTGGTTTACTGTTGGTGATGAAATAACGAAGTTTTAACGTTTCAAGAAGGGAAGTGAGATAAAAGAGGAATTTGAAATTAGTTTTGTGATCATGGAGAAAAGAGATATTTATTTATTATTTCTTCAATCTTGTATTCCCTTTCTGCCGTTTTTGACAATATGGATTATTGGTACTGTATGAAAGAGGAGCGTCGGAAAGGAATGTATGGATATTGAATGTTGTACTTGTACTCATACTTGTGTATCATGAGGCAAGATGGACCCGACTTTGGAGTGCAATTGCAAGTACGAGTATTTTTTTTATAAGATGTGGTAGTGCCGCTTCGTGAGATTCTTTTTTTTCTCTTATTCTTGCACTACTTTAATTTGAAGTCTTTGAATGTGATTTTCCAGATCTCTTTTTGCCTGTGGTTTTCTGTTGTTGTTGTTGTTCTGTTGTTTGTTAGTGAGGTAAAATTGATATAAGAGCTTGGGATATAAACATACCTTCCTCACTCACTTTCATTATTGTACGAGGGTATGTGTGGCACAATTGTGTTGTCTGGATGATAGAATTTGATTGTGTCAATACTTTATGAGAAGAACTTTTTGAGAGGAAAATATCTTTGTATAACATACACAAGGATTTCTTTCCTTCTCGATAGGGAAGTAAAGATGGCTTCGGATTCCATGCATGTAAGTTTTCGTCCCATTTCACCTTTCACATTCTTTCTATCTTTTCCACATCTTCATTTCACCATTCTCCTTCTATCTCATACATACACAATCCACTCTACTTTAGATCAAACCCTCTAAACATCAACTAACTGCCTCCACCCAGATGTCACCACCCTACCCTCCAGAAAATGCCAGTCTAGGCCTCACACCCACCAACAATGTCGATACACCCATCAGCGCCATCTTCATGATCCTCTTCCTCCTCGCCGCCATAATCCACATGTCAATCCTCAAAATAAACTTCCGGCGCGGCCAAAAATTCATCATGTCCGGCATGGCGTTCGGATTCAGCTGTTCCCGCGTCATCACCTGCATCATGCGTATCGTCTGGGCCTCCTATCCCACCAACATCAAGATCGCACTCGCGGCCCAGATATTCGTCGCGGTGGGCACAATACTGCTTTTACTCATCAATATGATTTTCACAAGTAGATTATTGAGAGCCTATCATACCTGGGCTTGGAACATATGGATCCGCATGATGTTTAGAGTCGCATATGTGAGTTTATTTGTGGGACTCATCGCGGTTATTTCGGTCACGGTCGATATGTTCTTTACGCTGGATCCGAATGTTTTGAGGATAGATCACGAAATGCAAGTGGGTATCGATACCTATTTTGCTGTTTATGCATTCATGCCAGTTCCACTTCTGGCGTTGAGACTTCTATTCCCGCTTACACATTTGGTCACGAAAGCCAAGGATCGCTCATCGGTCGAGAAATTCGGCACGGGTCGCTTTCGCACGAAAGTGAGATTGGTCTTGTTCACATCGATACTACTCACGCTCGCAGCAGCTTTCAGAGCAGGAACCGCGTATATACCCCGTCCAATTGATAATCCGGCTTGGTATAATGGTAAAGCATGTTTCTATATTTTCGATTTCATGATGGATATCATAGTACTGTATATATATGCGGTAATGAGAATGGATAGACGATTTATTGTACCGAATGGGACGAAGGATCAAGGGGATTTCAGGGTAGGAGGAGCAGGGGGCTTGCCGGTTAAGGGTGGAGAGGGCGCGGGAGTGCTTAGGTGGGAGTGGATGAGGGGTTGGAAGGGCGAATGGAGGGAGTGGGAGGTGCAGGGTGATGATGAGGTTTTTTGTGAGAGAGAGAGAAATACGGTGGGTGAGCGGAAAGGGAATGGGGATGTTGAGGAGGGTGATACGTATACGGAGACGGTAGTTAATACTAGTGGAGGTGTAACGCCAGAGATTGTGGGGAGCAGAGAGGATATTGATATTGATATTGAGAAGGGTGGCAAGTGAGACCGCGGTGCTGGCTGGCAGAGCAGGATGTGCATGGAATTGCTAGATCGTGCATTGCACATTGCACATTGTACATTAGTATAATATATAGATAGACAACAAGCAAGAATTCCGATATGAGTCTCGAACAGCCATACGATTCAATTCAGTTCAAAGCACATACACACCTAATCTAATTGATAAAACTCTTTACACCCCACCCCCGCCCCCCAAATTTCAAAAATCTAAAAATTCAGCAAGTGGATATCGTGGATACATACTAGGTAATAGAGGTAGATACAGTATGCATACATAAACTCCATTTCGCAAGCTGGATATAAATCATATTAGCTATATATGGAGTAGATGGAGTAGATGGACTTCGGATGTCTGCAGTCAGTCGAAACTTGAGTGGTAGGTACGGGGTATGGTATGGTATGGTATGGTAGGTAGATATGGGAGGTAGGTAAGCATGATGGTAGGTAGTACTGTAGTTACGTGGCATCGTGGTGATGAAAAGTTTGATGGTTGGATGGTTTGGACTGGACTGGTGCTGGTGCTGGTGTTGCTTGTAGAAGTCAAAGTAGAAGAAACAATGTATATATGTGTTGATGGGTAATTTATATTGTAAAATGTAAGATTACATACATAATGGAAAAGCATTTGAGCAGGCGGGATTCGAGAATTAAAATGTTGGAAGTTGGAAGTTGAAAGTTGAAAGTTGAAAGAAAAATGGGAAGCTGGGAGTGGCATGTATTGAGGTGGTTTTTGGGGGGTTCATGGGGATATGGGGGTTTGGAGGTTTGGAGGTGGGTGTGTAGGTGGGTGTATGTTAGGTACTCACTCGTGTTTAGGTAACCTAATCCAATGTTTTCGAGGCTATGGACTCTGGTTTGAAAGTCAATGGAATGGAAACGAAACTGACTAGCCGCCTATCTTGTGGCTGAAGTAGAGATCTCAATGGCTGTGTGTATGGCTAGAATGAATGCCTAGGTATATGGAGATGAGACGGCTTTCTTGTTTCTGTTTTGGGAAGTATACTGGGAGAGGGGTTGGGGGGTAATGAAACTGGAATGCTGGGTGTTTGTTTGCTTGATCTCGTTATAGAAAGCAGAAACAGGTATATCTCGCATATTAACCGTTTTCTAAATAATTATACGCATGCTTCTGAGAACAAACTTGATTTTCCTGTGCAGATGCTTACAGATCTGTGACCAGCAAACTTTGATTAAGTGGGGAAATTGGGGTAGGAAGCAGATGACCCTTAGTAAGTACTTCAGAGCTCAGGATGGTAGGGTAGACGAAACTGCAGTGCTTATGGACTACATACACATGACCCAATGGGATTTACAGAATGGAAACCTATCATGCAAGCTAATCGACTTGTCACCAGCTGGCTTTCGTATAACAAACCTTCGTTGGGTATGTACTCGAGTATATCTTTAGGCCCAGCAAGAATATCCGGAAGCAGTTCTTCTAAGCGACACCGATACTGCGTTTAAGTTGTTCCAGAAGCCTACTGAGGTAGAGGAATTGTCATTGCAATTATATAGTGCGGGCCAGACGGTACTGCTGTTTGATGTGAATCCGTTGGAGGAAGAATTAACCCGCATCTTGAGGAGAGGGATATATCCATATGCCGAGTAGAGTTAGAATACTAGAACCTTGATGAGAGTTGCCCATTCACCATGCAGATGAAAGCATGTATAGTATCAGAGTATTTGTATTTGTATATGTGTTATTGTACTTTACTCTGTCAGAAAGGCAGGATATTAAGTTGGTAATATGGAGTTGAACGAGATAATATTTTCTTTCGATCGTTGGGATGCAATAGCTACTATAGAGAAGAAGAGATACAAACCAGCAGGAGTTAGAATCTGTTGTACAACTTTGGGTGTAGTTGGTATTTCTCACCTCCTTTATTGCCGATATTTGATATATGTCAAATTGTTATCTCACCGCCTTGAATGGCAAAGGTCTGATTTGTATGGGCAGAATGATTTGATTGATGCCACTTTAAGTCATAGAAACGGCCGCTAGCTCACCTTGCTCTATGACGTTTTTAGCCTGTATCCTTGCATTATTTTATGCACCGAGACGCCCTAGCCCTGGCCCCCCAAGCAAGCACAATCAGAAGAAGTGCTACAAAGCTTCAACTTACAAAAACATACATACAATTATATTAATATATGCTCATACTTGACACCTTCACCCCTCTTTAAATCCTCAGTCGATCAACATTTTCAATCATAATGACAAGTTCTGCTGGAAAACGCGGACCATCAGTCTTGGTATGGGCAAAATCAAACCGCATTAAATTCCGATTAAAAACATCGCAGTTCTCTAATCTCGTCTTAGGTTACTGATTCTCGGGAACGACAACGTCCTTCTACGGCTCGAAATAACTCTCAACGACCAAATATCAATGGCACGAATGCCTCTAGACCAACAAGATTCATATCGGTAGACAACGTTTTACAATATGCCTCTCAAATCCCATCAGGCCAAGCTCGAGGACCACCAGGACGCAGACCTCAGACTCCAAACCAAAGTCGCGCAAGTGGTCCCATATCGGCACGAATCGCACAACAGAATGTACCTGGTCGGAGTACGAAAACTAGCGAAAAACTGGTTCTGATTCCAGAGACAATAGATGAAAAGGACGATTCGGATACCGATGAGGTTCTTGGTGCCGAAAGTCGACCGCGATATGATGGTGATGTGGGACCTTTGACGGATACTGAAAAGGATGTACTAAAGAAGAGGGGTGGTATACGGGGAAAGAGTTATGCGGAGCGATTACCGAAAGCAAAGAGAGCAAATGAATTGGCCAGGGTTACTGCATATTGTACGGCACAAGCGTACAAGACAAAGGTCACAGCTGCATTTGTAAAGGAAAGACACGGAGCCAAGACAAAGTTATACGATGATTGTCTCTACACAGTTTATCATTTACCATTATTGCCGGGTACTGAGGGATTTAGAGTTCGAAGTAGTCCTATTTTGAAGAGTCCAGGCGGAAAAGCGGTATTGGATGAAGAGATAGAGAGAAGTGAGAACCGAGACTATCATGAGGGATATTTTGAGGATATGGATACGTACGGTGTAAGGAGTGCAGAGGATAGTCCTCGAAATGAAACCGACGATGACAGACTCAGGAGAGAAGAAGAAGCTCGAAGGAGTAGAGAGGAAACCCACGTCTTTGAACAAGGAAAGAGAGCCGACAGTCCAAATCGACTTGCACCGGATGCTACAACTTTCGCAGAAATGTTTGTCTTTTCATATGGAGTGGTCGTGTTTTGGAACTTTACCGAGCACCAGGAAAAAGATATTCTTGCCGACCTGACGTTTTCGGCGCATAACACAGGTGTATCACTTGTCGTCCGGCCTCAAGAAGAAGAAGATCTCGAAACGGAAGAGCTCCATTTTGAGTATAACCCTTTTGTCGACAGACCACGAATCTTTAATGATATGATCACGTTAAGGAGTGGCGATCATATGATCAAGCTGGCAATGAGTCATGCAATTGCCCAGAGTACAAAACTGAGTTTCTTCGAGGAGCGGATGTCGCAGACCATGTTAAGTGCAGAGCATGTACCTAAACACTTGGCCTTGACAGGCCAACTTGGTATGTCTCGTACAGAAATCCTCAAGATTCTTGGTCGTCTCTTCAAGAGTAGGGTGGATGTCAATCTTTGTAAGTTATTCCAAATCTCAGTATAATAGTTCGGCGCTAATGTCCAGCAGCATCAAATATTCTTGATGTCCCCAGCTTCTTTTGGGATTCCGAGCCCACGTTACATCCTCTGTATGAAGCCATTCGCGAGTATTTCGAAATCGGCCCTCGCATCACGACGCTTAATGAACGTTGTCGAGTTTTCTTAGATTTGGCAGAAGTTTTAAGTGACAGTATCGCAGATACCAAGATGAGCATGATCACATGGATTGTCATCATCTTGATTATCATTAGTATTGCAGTCACGGTCACAGAAGTAGGCTTGAGATTCATAATACTAGAAAGGGAAGCAGGTGGGGGACGTGCAGTCGTACCTACGGATAGAAATTGGTCAAGATTAGATTTTAATACTCCACAGTTGGAAGCAATATGTGGAAAGGAAATCGTGGGTACCACGTTTGCAAACCTCTGAGTAGGAGGTCGCATGTAAATATTGCATTTGGAGTAGACTTGCGCTCTTGAGCTTGCACTCGGGAGTCGGAACGGGGCATCGCGGGCGTTTGGGGATGCATAGACTAGGTGTATATGATGTGCTTGTGCTTGTAGATATCGCACAATGATAACATAATGAGCGTTCTTGTTAATTAGAAGGTTATTGATTATTCTACAGCTATGTATGCCAAAGCTTCATCATGAAGTCTTCATATTCTCCTTCCTACCCTTGAAAAGATCAAGTACCGCATCAGTTCACTACTTTCTCATTCATTACAACTAAACTAGACTATCCGTTCCTCCCAATTCGCTTTTTGACCGTCTGAAACAGAAACTATGTATGATGTTATTCGTAATCGTCTTGAGTTAGTTTAGTATTATTAGTAGATCATCTATCCGAGTACTGTAGAAATATCAGCGCTCGTTGGTTGATGGTTGCTTCGCCTGTAACAAATTCAGAAGGCACAGTTTTCTGGTTCTAAATTAGCTATTCGTTTTATTTGAATTTTGGATTTTACTCTTCCATTTTCCATAACATACTCAAGTAGGTAACTATATCATTGTCAATGAATACTTCGATTAATTACTATACTAGATTATCTGGAATAATTAGTAATTAGTCAGTAGTCTTTGGCTTGTTGCTGAGTTGCTCCTGCTAGCTATATGGTAAGTGTATTGTTATGGTATGGTTAGTACTGTAGTCACTTCACATTTCACATTTCATTTTACATTTCACATTTCACATATCATTCATTATCACGAGAAGTAGCAGCAAGATGTATCAAGATGTATGTGTAAGAACAGCTGCTGTGTTGTATTTGTATTTGCTGGACTAGGTTTTAGATGTCTAGAGCTGTATTGTAGATATATTCTAGATATCCTGTTGCTAGCCAAAAAAAACTTCATGTTCACCCGATGTATGCGTGATATTGGTTGGAGACTGGTCCGAAAAATCACACTATGTAAGGTATCCGCAGTGTCTTGTCATGTTCTCTGCAGCTCCAACCTATCATGATAACGGTCTTTACATGTCCTGGTAACCGAAATCTAATGCCCAACACCCAGTATCCAATACCCAGTTCCCAATACCCAGTTCCCAATACCCAGTTCCCGATACCCAGTTCCCAATACCCAATACCCAACACCCATCACCCAAAACCCATTGACCAAAAGAAAAAGTGTTGCGCCGATTGATGTCATTCTCCTTATGCGAATCAACAATGCCCAGAGCCCCGCCGCCCATGATTGTCATTCCGAAGAGGCAATACAGCTAACAAAATCCCACCCTAGAAAGCCGACAACCCCTCCACCACGACCCCCCCTACTTCTTGACATTGTCATCGTCCTTATCCTCGTTATCGACCTTGCCATTACCCTCCTTAGCAGCAGCCGCTTCTCTAGCCGCCTTTGAAGCCACAGCCTTCTTAGCAGCATCCGCTTCTCTAGCCGCCTTTACAACCGCCGCTTCAGCCTTTAGCCTCTTTTCATGTTCAGCCCTTTTAGCCACAGCATGTTTCTCCTTTTCCTCTATCTCGTTATCCCGATGATCTGCATGCTTCCAGCCGCATTTTGAGCATTTATCTGTAACGCGGAGGAAGCCAGATCTGTCAGCACAGGATGCCTCTGGGCACAAAACTTGATGAGTTTTGCAAAAGTTCTTCCCCTTCCCGATCGAAGCGCGTAGACAGTTTCCCTTATTAGCTAAAGGACAATGTATGTGTTGTTCCTCCGGCCATTGTGACTGTTTATTGAGTGTTGAAAGTATTTGGATGTATGGTAGGAGGTGACGGAATGATCAGGTAGTTACTATGAGGAAGGTTGATGGAAAGGTATTGTGATGGAAGATCAGATCTCCCGATATTAAGGATCAACTTTTTGTTGTAAGGAAGAAAAAAAAAAACAGCAGCTGCTCAGGGCCAGCATCTCTTGGTTTCTATAGAACACACAACCATAATCCTTGTACACAGACACAGAGACCCGTTCTCTACAAATCAGCCACGGTCATTACCATATCGGACTCATACCTTTGCGGTATTGAACGCACTCCATGCAAAACGCAAAGCAGCACAGCTAAACCGCAGAGTGATACCGGCGATCAGAGATACAAATGATTACTTCCTAGAACTTCAAAATGCATTAGCCGCTAGTCGAAAGGCTAAAACTCCTCGCGAACATGCATTATCCAGGTTTCAGCTGGTCAAGGACTATTTTAAAGAAAGGACTGCCAGTCCAAAACCCACTGGCAAGACACATCATCAAGGACAAGAATTCTTGGGACCAAATACACCGGAAGTGAAAAGGGCTCGACACGTATCTGAGAGGCTGTTTCTTGTGCAGCCAGCTGAACAAAATTGGCAGCGAGTAGAGGTTGCGAAAAATCCTGGTTCGTTTCTCCTTACTCTCAAAGTCTTGAACCGCATCTAACATGATATTCGCATAGGTGGTACTAATGCATGTGTTACCTGGGATGGGGTCGTCATCTTAGAACAAGGAGTTCTCCAATCTTCCTACAGTGATGATACTCTAGCTTATATTATAGCTCATGAGATGGCTCATCATTTGTTGCAACACGTCAAACAAAGTCGCCCGGGATGGAGGCGGTACATTATATTATGTGCTCTTTACGCCTTTTTCACTGATCTGATGTCTTTTTCTTCGATCTTGTTGGTCAAGGCAATAAAAAAACACCTCAAAAATTGCGCTATGTTTCAAGCTCAGGAGTTTGAAGCTGATGATGAAGCCACGAAACATATGTGGAAAGCTGGGTATAACGGAGAAGCTTGCATCAAATTCGCAGAAGCCAGTATCGAACGATGCAATCGGCTTGGAATTACGTCCAAATTCGGTGACAAGCCTGAATTGGATACACATCTCATACTTAGCAAACCATACGATTCTTTCATCTAACCATGCCTACAGTGGGAGGCAAGATTAATACACTTCAGGCATTGCATTAGCAAAGGAAGTAGTGAACTGAATGAATGGTGGAAAGAAAATAAATTAGTTGAATCGGAAGAAACTTTTAGAAGAAGCTAAAAAACAAATGAAAGCCGCGCAGAATCACAAGTTAGGGATAATTCGGAAAAACGGTGGTGTATCTTACCTATCGGACACTTCTACCACACATACTGCCAAAAAGCATCTTGCTCCTTCTACACACAAAAGAGATAGCCTAAAGGGCTCGCAAAAGGTTCGTAAGACTCACAAATGAGCCTACCTTTCAACGTTGCGAATCATACAATGGCAGGATTATCTCTACGTTCGGGTTCTCTTCACCTCTTAATCGATCATTCTAAATCCTCACTCATCCAAACAATCGAAACCTTTCTGCACCATACGAAAACCAAGTCCCGATCCCTATCAGTCCACCGCAAAAGCCATGATTAGACGGCGCATCTAATTATGTCTAATTATGTCTCAAAGCCTTTCACATCGATGTAGATTTCCATGTCTATCTGCCGAAATTTCATCCTATCATTGGACATCCAACCAGATCCAGCTCAGCAAAACCAAGATTTCGTACAACTTCACGAGAGAAACTTCAAAAATCCATATGTCCCTTAGACTTGAGCAAACAAACGACAGGTGAAAAGGAATTTCACTAGATCTAGATAGCCCCGAGAAGACGGAATTGTTTCAACTGCATACATTATTTCCCAACCATTATGTTTCTCAACAATTCAACTTCCGCAACAGGAACGCAGTTCTCCACGATTTACGCCCCCAGGAGATGACCCACGAAACAGGTGATACTGGCCTGCGCTAGGCTGGCCATGATATCTCTACGGCGTATAATCTACTTGTGGCATTTCAATTTTTAATTACAGTTTTTCATCATTAATCTACATTGGAGTTTGGTGTTTAGGTTTAGTTTTTAGGTTCCAACACAATAATAGATTGAGAGTAATATGAAATAATCAATCTGCTGTATTGGAAACCTTTGACCTCTCTGCATGGCGTGAAGTCTCATGTCATGACATATCCGATCTCTCTTCTCTTTTTTTATTTCTTTTCCCTACTACTCACTAACTACACGGTGATACTACCCTACATACTTAACACTTAACACACCAGCTTCACCACACAATCCATCACACAGTAGCAAAGAACAATAAAAGAGTCTCCATACCGACCGATGTGGACTGGGAAGGAGCTCCAACTACTAGTAACTCTACCAACCATTATCTCAACATAGCATAGTATGCGGAACTAGAATCTCGGATTCTTTCCAATCCCACACTCGTACTCGAATATTTATATATCCCATCTACTGATATCATACCAGACAAAAAACATCTTCATTTTCTCGAACCAGGAGGAGTACAATACAGTATTCCCATGCAAGCAGCAAGAGATCTTCATAGCTAATTTAACAAAATATCACTATGCATGTCGCGCCCTCATGGACAGAAAGCAACATAGATAACGTAACGCAAGCTATAAGCTCTTTGTATATATCCTTTTTTGGTACTTTGCTAACCGAGTACACTTCACTACACTACACCACATTACACTATTAGATTTAGAAGTTAAGATAGCAAGATAGCTAGCTCCAGAAAAGCTTCCACTTCAGAATTATAATTAGATTTGGTTTCAGCTTTAGATTGCCGCCATATTATAACACAACCTTCGCGATTTCCTGCCCCTAACAACCAATAGTCTGTCTAATTGATACTTCTCAATCTACTATTACCATCTCTGTCATTCCCATGACCCTCTAGCTTAAAATAATGCATTGACCTAGCTGTCCGAGTAATAGCCGGAGACTAATCGTCTAATTGAAAGCCCAACAAGTACATAGTATCACTTACTGCCAGAATCTAATCCATATTAAAGCAAGGCTAACGCCATTTCAGGATCAGGCGCATAGCATTAGTTTCAAAAAGCTGCCCCAACTATTCAAGTAAGGCTATTTGACCATAAGAGGAGCAGCTGGGGTCTCGCAGGTGTGAATGTTCCTTGAGCATGACTAAAACTATAAGACTAATAAATGTTGAGAGGACCCCCAGAAGAATGAATCGAATATAGTATATCATTTTAGCAACATTGATCTAATGATGATATAGGCAGGCGCTGACGATGAATAGCAACTAGATATGCAAAATAGATGTCCCGAAGAGCGAAATATACTTGGGTCAGTGACCTATAAATCAATGAACGTGTGCGAAATTGTACTATTCAGAGAAGTGAGTGATCCACGAAGTTAGCAACGAAGTTTCAACCCCAGAAATTCAACGAAAGAAAGAACAAATGACTCAAGAGTAAAATCACTTTATAACAAGAGCCAAGAGAAATAACGAAAGGCAGTGCAATGTAAATGTTAAAGATCTCTGCTTCTTCTACTATGTACAAGAGATCAGAACACAACGAAAGACCTACCAGCAATTCGAAATAAGGCCACTCATTATACGTATGAACCAACGCATACACATGAGATAGCTAGTTGAGTCCCCATAAGAACAAGAAAAACACGCGAAGGTGTAAATAGAGTAGGCCTGGAGACTAACAATGGACAATAGACCATTCCGTGCAAGAACAACGAAACTTCGTAAACCCCATCCAATGCTCGTACGCGGCTATATTCTACATAAATACAAGGACTACATGTATTATAATGAACAGGACACTTCAAGACTTCAAGACTTCAATCCTCACGAAAGACCCCACGCCATGCCTGATCATGCTATATGCTATACGCTATATCAGAAATCAGGGCGAGGATCTGAAATGACATCCAAAATTTACCCAAGATGATACTCGTAAGTAAACAAGAGAAGAAACATGATATGATATGAGCGACAATCAGCAATCAGCAATCAGGCAACTATGAGATCAGCTCGCTACATATAGCGCATACAGTATTAGGATCTCTCTCACGAAGTTTCCCACGAGCTTTCCAACAAAGTTTCGACAAAATCACCAAAAGGGATAACCTTAGGTCCTTACCCTCCCGCCTACCGCGCATAACCCTAACCCTCAAAATAAATTCCCCACTTTCCTTCCGATTAGTGAACGGGGAGCTCCGCCCCCAACTCTACGGAAGGAAGTAGCCACTATCAGTACTCGTATACGAGTCTACTGTATTTGATACCAAGAGCAGGAATAAACATATAAACATAGCATAGCATGCTACTCGAGCATGTTGTAAGATTACAATGAAGAAATTCAAGTCCCTGATACGTACTCGTATACGAGGAGTACTGTAACCTTACAGTACAAGTCAAGTATCTTTAGATAGGACATTAACCTTAAGGTTGATTGTTCGACTCTCTCTCCTTCCTCCTCCTCCTCCTTGACCTTAGCCTTGATACATTGATGGCGCCAGATAATTACAAAACTGCGGAAGAAGTGTATAAGAGCATGTGAAAATTAAGCACGGAAGCAAAAGATCTTCTTTCTATAACTACATTATTTCGGGCACCACATGTATTTATTATCGTTTAGAGCAAAGAAGAGAATAGCAATTCATAGATTACTCCTTAACACCCGATGTAGAGCGCTTAAATCATTATAGCCATTAAATCTTCATATCGCTCTCGAGCGATATGAAGGCTCTCCATATTTCGTGATATCAAATTCCTCCCCCTTAAAAAAGACAAAAAAGAGCCTAGCTTAGTAATTGCTCGATGGCACCCTGTACACTTCCTCCACTCCTTCTCAAGGCTTCAACATTTCTGTCAAAATCGAAGAATCCCATATCATTCAACTGTCTGAGTTGATCGGCGTATCTATCCTCAGGTGGTCTTGTGTCTGCTGAAGCTGCTGGAGCTGCAGGAGCACCCGCGCCAGCACCGCCCATACCTCCCATACCTCCAAGTCCACCAGCACCAAACATATCTCCAAAAGTTCCGTTTCGCATCATTTCCATTGCTTGTTGTACCTGTTCCGGTGTTGGTTGTGGCATCCCTGGAAATGGATTAAACCCCGCTCCACCGGCTCCAGCTCCTCCAAACATCGAAGCAAAAGTGTTTTGGGCATTGGCATCCGCACCAGTTGAAGGTGCTCCCCCAGCGGAAGCGGGAGGTGGAGAAGCTAGGGTTGGAGGGTGGCCAGCGGCAGTTGCTCCTTGTCCACCGAATAATGATGCAAATGGGTTACCAGGAGCTCCAGCGGGCATCGCAAAAGGGTTAAAAGGTTGTGCATTTGCCTGGCCACTTCCTGGACTGCTCCCCGCTGCTCCAGCCGGTGTAGTATCAGTGATTCCCGGTGCGGGAAAGCTACCAGCTCCGCTCCCCATTGATCTTCTCATCGCAGCAGCTTGTCGAATAGCGTCTGGATTTGTAAGCATGTCTCTGAACATTGGCGATTGTAACATCTCTCGTGCATTTGGCATGTCTCTGAGCATTGGGGTATTTTGAATCATCATGTTGACGAGATCTGGGTTGTTGAGAGCTTCGTTCATCGTTTGGCGAATATTAGGATCATCCATCATTTGAGCGATCGCATCTTCAGTTGGCGGAGCACCCATCTGCGAAAATGTTAGCATCAGAAGATTATTTTTCAGTAAAGGGTGGACGTACTCCACCATCTGCGCCAAACATCTCAGCACCTGGAAGAACCATATGGCCTGCATAACGAGCACCTGTCAAACCAGCAAGATGATTATTCGCAGTTCCGGCAGCCATGTTTGTTGGCACACCTGCTGCAGCACCAAGTGTGGCGTTGGCAGGATTTTGGGCAGTGTTGCTCTGTGCGCTCTTGACCATATGTATTGTATTGCCAGCCTTGATCTTATAAGTGCTTAAAGGTTCCTCATTTTTCATGACACGACCAGAGTAAATTAATCGTTGGCGATCGACTGGAATCTTTTCGTAATCATCTCCTGCCAGCTTGGTCTTCAGGTCGAGAACTGATGCAGTTTCTGCCATTGTGATTGTATGATTTCCATCGCTGGATGTTTTAACCTTGAAGGTGATTTGAGAATCAGCCTCTGGCGCAGCTGGCAACTCGTCGGACATCTTGATTTTGGGAGATTTGATAGATATACGATTATTGAAGTGTTATTTTAAATGTTGGGTTGAGTATTATGAAGAGTTGTGATTGATTTTGTTTGTTGTATTGATTGACAAGGTTGGTTTGATTTAGGTAGGTTGTAGTTGGGTAGGTGGTGGTGGTAGTAAGGTGTTTTTTTGTTTTTTTTACCATACTAGGCAAAGTATTGAGGGAGGGGCACAGCTCGGGTTCAGATGACGTTCGATGTTCCGAGAATCGTTGCCACTGACTACTAATTATATACGAAATGAGTTTCTCTTCCTTTCATTAAACTTTATTCAAATATAGTTAATTTATCAACATTACCTCTATGATAAGTGATTATACTTTTGGCTTCTGATCGATCAGCTAACATTTTAGTGCCATTTGATCGGGACACAGCCGCACAGGGCAGCATCCATATCTAAGTAGTAATAAGTAACTAGCACAAGCTACTGGTATATAAAAATACACAGAAAACTTTATAAAGGATCATATATAAATAAATATTTAGGTATGTATGCGCAACCTTTACTTGGTATTGTATTTGTTTGAAGATGATATATATACATTTTTCGCTCTTCGAGTGCTCCCCAAGTTAACTCTAGGTAGGTAGACACCATTACCCGGCAAAACAGCTCTCACTGTCCCCAAGTCTTACTCGATAACAGTAAGGTGAGACAAGGCAAGGTAAAAAAGGCACCTAGGTAATGTCAAGACGACGCCGAGAGTATAAGAGTAGGTGAAGTCGCAATATCCATTTCGTGACAATCAGGATTGTAAATATTGGTCTTATCATAGATAATTTCTCGACAATCCTTCCTGTCAATGGGTTAAGGTCTTCTTCATATTAAAAGTCATCTAGGAGGTAATTAATTGATTATGTAATCGATTAGTTGAACTTCGAACCCGAGCCATAAATTAGCTGAACCTCGGCTCGGCCCCCGCATTTAGAGAATCCGGGGTTCTTGAATCTCTACTTCGCATACAACTCATTTCTTATATTTATCTACACATATGATCTATTCAATCAACAAATCCCTCTCACATCTAAATAACTTCATTTCAATATCCAAAACTAACCTACAACATGCGAGGAATTCAAATCAAAGAATATGTCAAAGTAAGCTCTACCTCGGTAGCTCCGAAGCTTTTATATCCTCACTCAACACCTATAGCACGTACCAACATACTAACAGACCCTCTCTCAAAACCTAGGGACCTCGAGACCTTAAGGTCACAGATCTACCAGATCCCGTGCCAAATTCTGATCAATATCTAATCGAAATCCATGCCACCGCTACCAATTTCTACGATCTCCTTCAAATCCGAGGAAAATACCAGCATCAACCTCCTTTACCTTGTAAGCAGTTTCTCGTATCTGTCATATCTGCCATTTCCAAGCCAATCCAATCCAATTCAATCATACCTCACTACCCACCTCACCTTACCTCTCTGTAACACAATTCCTCGAATACACCACAACCATGCACTGACACTAATTCCTCGCATCCAGGGATATCCGGCTCAGAATACAGCGGCACCATCATATCCACTCCCAGCGCAACCGCATCACCCCTCTACAAACCCGGAGACCGCGTCTTCGGCGCCTCCCAAGGCGGCTACGCAACGCTCGTCTGCGCCCAAGAAACCTCCCTCTACCCCGTCCCACCCTCCTGGTCCTTCTTCGAAGCCGCCGGTCTCTTCATCACCGCTCCAACATCCTACTCTGCACTCGTCACCCGCGCCCAGATTAAACCCGGCGACTACGTCTTGATCCATGCTGCCGCTGGTGGAGTTGGTCTCGCTGCCGTGCAAATCGCTAAGGCATTTGGCGCTACCGTCATAGCCACCGCTGGCACATCTCGAAAACTGCAAGTCGCTCAAGAATTCGGCGCCGATCACGTCATTGACTACAACGACGCGTCGTGGCCCGACAAAGTAAAAAAACTCACGCCAGATAACAGAGGAGTAGACATTGTATTCGATCCCGTCGGGCTCATCGATAAATCCACAAAATGTATACGATTCAACGGACGACTCCTCATAATCGGATTCGCAGCGGGCAATATTGAGAAAGTGGCGATGAACAAGGTGCTGTTGAAAAATATCAGTCTAGTGGGACTACATTGGGGAGCGTATGTGCAAAATGAACCAGAAAAGATCAAGGAGGTTTGGGAGGGGATTTTCAAGTTGATTGAGGAAGGCAAGTTTAGGGGCACGGTTTTTAGGGATAGGGAGTTTGTGGGCTTGGAGGATGTACCCGGGGCGTTGGAAAGTCTGGGGGGGAGGGAGACTTGGGGGAAGGTGGTTGTTAAGGTGGATCGGAAGGAGAAGGCGGGGAAGACTAAGATTTAGGGGAGGGGGTTGGTGGATTAGATGAGGGGGATATGTTTTTAGCGAGGAACTACTGTATGGCGAGAAACTAAGAGGCTGTCGAAAATGAACATGTTAGATTCAATGATCCATGTTGTTGTTGGGGGTATATAGAAAGCTTTTCTTACTCAAATAGTAGTACTCATAGATACTGTAGAATGGAACTTTGCTTGCATATCCTAAATGAAGGTTAGGCTGAAGACATGCCAGCTGATGCACATAACATGTACATCATATACGTATATAATCATCACCATCACCATCATCAAGATCATCAGTGCAAAGAGTATCTCAATAATATCCTGTATGTCATTCATCCATAGTACTATTTTCATTCATCAAAGATTTGCCATACCCATCCGTCATATCAATATGTAGTAAGTATCGAATCCTAAAGTCCCGCGCCCGCTCCCATTTATGATGCATCAATATGTTGAAACCTATGTTGAAACCAGCCCCAATACCTCCTCGCCTAATAAACCCCCACACCCATCAACCAGAAAATTTCCTGCCCGTTCATCCATCAGGCTGCTCTACCAACACACCAATCTCAATCTCCATCACGAATCTAGAAATGTTCTTTCCAGAACGAGAAATTGACATCGCGAGTCGTGGCACTCTTGCATGCTTTTTTGATTGAGCGCGCTGCTACGTTTGGTCCTATTTTATCTATTAGTACTCATCTTCAATGGAGAGGATCGCGAGGAAAAGGGGTGGAAACATACCACAAAAGTAGACTCCCACATTAGTTTTGAAATCGCCCTCCAGCCCTGACAAATAAGTTTTGTCCATAATCCCATCCCTCATATCCTCAAACAACTTGGTGAAATCTGGTCTCCCGAAATTCGTCCGAGATTTTAATTCCGTCAACGGATCGACATCGGCTCCTACACTGTTCAACACGATATTCTGCGCTGTATCGATATCCAATTTTTGGGTGAGGTATGTATGGATACGCAAGAATTCTTGCCCACTGTTTCCGGGTTGCGCAGCCGCTTCTTGGGATTGCGCTTCGAGAGATGAGAGGAGGACTTGAAACCATTCAAAGGAAGTTGTATCTTTGCAGACCCAGATAAATTCGACGCGGCGAAGACGCTCGGGGGGATTAGTTCCGTGACGGAGATGCCAGATATTTTTGAGGATGGATGCCCATGGTGTTACACCAATACCGGTACCGATGAGAACGGCGACTTCGTTTTCGAAGACATCTTCGGCGGGGGCACCGTAGGGTCCATCTACTCGGATTTCGGGCATCTTTTGGCCGTTTTCGAGGGCTACTTCGTACATGCCATTGGGGTCGACTCCGTCGTACAGTTTGGCTTGAGCGGCTCCGGCTCCGAGGGCGTCTCCTAGAGTGCGAGTGAAGTCGCCGACTTGCCGGATGTGGATGGAAACATAGGGATCGAATGGGCAAGATGTAATGGTAAACGGATGCCATTGTTCGCGAGAAACAGAGGGAACATTGAGAAAGAGCCATTGTCCTGCCTTGTACTTCATCGATGGCTTTCGGAATTGGATTTCCATTGCATCTGTAACGTATTAGTTCTTGATCGACGAAATTTGGAGATGAAACATACCATATGGATGACGAACGACTCGAACGATCTGAGTTTCTCTTCTACTTCTAATCTCACGATACACACGCTCACAGAAGTAGAGTCCACCACCCCAAAGTTCCCAACGCCATCCTTCATATCCTAAGCAATGTGCCCAGAAGTTCTCGCCAGCAAATGGAGAGAAAGGATCCGCGGTATCACGAACGAAACACCCAGTAGCATGAGTATATATCGCGAGCAAAAATGGGATGAACAAATGATGGGTGTACCAGAATGTCTCGAAAGATTGTTGTCTAATCTTAGCATGAGCAGTAGTATACATCAGCATCATGCATAACAACATAATGTGACCAGTAATGCCACCAGCTTCGGTATAGTGAATCTGAATTGCAGTGACTGGCCGAATTTGAGTCTTTTCGACATTGAAGAAACTGCGTGAATGTTAGCAGGTAAGTGGAAGTGGAATGATGCAACACCTACTTGACATAGTGAGCAGCTACGTGGACTATAGTCCAGAATAGCAGCGAGTATGCTACTTGTCGATGAAACCATTGAGACTCATCGAGCGGCAGGAATTTGACCTTCGGCCTAATATATTTCAAGATGTTGCGACACATCGGTAATAAGATCATTGCAACATCCACCGACAATACCAGACCAGCACCTCTAGATATCCATACTGAGAATGTGAGAGAATTTAGAGCCGCGAGTCTAGGGTCAGCCGCTTGCTTGTACCTGAACAAGCCGTTAGCGGAAGAAAGACCGACGGATTAAGAAGCTGCCTACCATCCCAAAGCAAATAATCCAACGTGAAAACCATGGAAGAGGAAATTAAACATCAACTTGGTTCCCTGGAGCTGCCCCGACAAAGTTTTGAAAAACCCCATCCTTTGTATATCCAAAAACCCCCAAATATTAAGCGTCGTCCAGCGACAAGGTCGATTAAAAGAGTTGAGTGAGACCGTTGATCCTTTGTATGACTGAGAGAGGACCAAAGGTTGACCCCACGCACGTAGAAGAAGTATTAAACGTTGCAATATCTAAAAAGAATATGTAAAGGAATGTATGTTCATAACAAGAAAAGAATGATCTGAGCCAGCAGCCAACAGCTTGGAAAGCTTGGGTGAGAAGTTTGAAAGAGAAGGTCTTGTTCTTCTACAACGCCGAGGAAGAAGAATAAGAAAAACTAGGGGTATATGGTGTGGGCGAGCCTTGATAATAAAGGTTGTCGAATGGGTCATCCACACTAATCACTTGATCCTTTCGATGACGGAATGAATATGTCGAGAGAAGAGTCTTCTTGGGTTGGAAATCAACGCTCGTACAGCCGTTTGTTGCGGGCTTCCGAAGCTAAAAATTCGGATGGCAGGTTTTCCTTGAAGAATCCCAGTACGGGTGTACAATAATATCTGATTTCCCTTTAGAACTTCCTATTTCATATAAAATTCAAGGAGATGCCCCGTTTGAAGGGACTGAAATCACTGTCCTTTGAGAAATGCCATCCGAGCTTTTCCATCAACTAGGAGTAGATCAGATGTAACAGTGAGTTTCGGAAGGAAGAAAGCGGTATCAGATTGTTCCAAATAACCAAATATTTAGTAGCAGGCTATGGTTTCGGGAGGCTCAGAGGATGGTGAAGATAAGGAGACGACGGATTAAGCTTGTAGGAGGTTGCTGATCATAAGTTGAGTTGAGACGAATATTGTTGCAGGTAGCCTCAGATGCATTGAGAAGCGATGAAATCTTGTTGCAAAAATATTTATTTGAACAGGGGGTGAATTTGTCTACCGTCCTTCGATACTCTTACTGTTGATCTTACTGAGTTTAATTGAATTTAAATTTACTTGCTTAGATATTGATAGGTGATGAGTGAATAAATAGACTTCATGGAATAAATGGAAAATCAATTTTGGGGAAGTTCAGAAATCGAGGTTTTTCTATGATGGCTGTGACCACCCGTGTCGGGATAACAAGGGTATCAAACCTACCCCCCAGGCGCTTCAAGATGATTTCTAATTGGGTAAAAGTATTGATAGAAGCATTATGCACAACGACTTCTGCATCAATCCATCTGGTACCTCGTTCCACAAAAGGCCTTCTCCATGGGTTTCGGGGTTTTTACTATAATAGTACTGGTAAAGTCTTATTGGTCCTTTGCTGTATTGGGAATGTACCCCCCTGTTTGCAGATGAGATGGGTAAGGGGTAATGTTTTTGTATATCTAGTACCTAGTATAATCTGGTCTGTTGGGTCGACCTCGTAATCAATCATATTTGATATGATAGTGTGAAACTTGTCATGTTTGTCGTGTCTGGCTAAGTCGAAGCTAAATGTATTGTTGGGTCATGGACTGATAGGCCTAGGTAGGTATGATCTAAGGGGTTAATAATTAGGGCTGGACAGTGTAGCGAAGCTTGTATGTACCGCAATCACTAACATGATTCAACAACAAGTCAAGGGATTGCGGTATGGTTGAATATCAAGTAGAATTGTACGTACCGGTATCGTAATAAAGGTGGCCGACAGGATCTACTCGAGTACCCCCCGTTTCAGAACTGCTTCAAAAAGGGTCTTTCAAAAGCAATGCACGTCCCTTTAGGGTTCATCAACTCAACAACATAAAAGGTGGAGATCTTGCTTCATCTGTGAATGGTAAGCCGACGGAAAATCAGTAGGTATATAAATGCGACTTGGAGACCGAACGTGGATCAGAGTCTTCTTTCTCTCATTCTTTGGTATCGACGGAAGCATAGACAACATCACCGCCGCTGTCATGTCTCTAAATTGTAGGAGTGAAACCTCCAACCGATGATCCTTATAAACTGGAGCTTCCGACTGGCATAAAGGGTCGACAATGCCAAATACAACGTCGTTGTTGATACTATAGAAGAGACGGAACATCGCTAGAAATGCATATTGGCCACAGACAACAACGCACATCTCAATTGTCTGTCTGGCAGCAAAAACCTCATTTTCTGAATTCGGGTCATATTTGACTTGAGTATAAAGCCTCTCTGCACCTCCAAGATTTCCTCGAAATTTCTTTTCCAGAACTTCTTCAATTTCGAGACAATACTGCCGTCCTTGTCATCGAGTCACTCGTTTACTAATGCCCATCGTTTGTACTGAATTTGACATGAGGATAAGCCCTCGGGCACTTCAAATAAGGAATTTTCTTATTGAAAATAAGTAAATCGATCATTTTTTGCCAGCGTCCTTTTTGGTACATGTCTTGAGATTCAATATATATATTGAGATTTGAAGCTAAAAAGTCCTCCGATATCGATGGCCACCCTCTCACTCCGCCTCTCACCCCCGGGCCTCCCCTGGCTTCCTTGGCCCTCCCGAATCCTCTCCTCTCCTCCCTTCCCTTCCATTCCCTTGTTATATATTTCATACGTTAAATTTGAACCTCATCGTCGCACCCTTGTAGTAAGCTTGAAACTATTCAAGCTTACTAAACATTGAAAGTATTCTAACTTACTAAATATTGAAGCATCGAAAGCATTCTGACTTATTGAATATTGAAATCATTCAAGTTGACTTTTAAGTGAATTTCAAATCATCGATTTAGAAGAAAAAAAATGAAGATATTTCGAACTAATTCATATTAGATTTAAACCGTGATTTCAAATCTCAATATAAGATCTCAATATATCTCAATGTTCTTCAATATGTGATTTAATGTGATAATACCCTACGCATAGGTTAATAACCTATATGAGGTGCCTGTAGGGTGGTGAAGAATTACTACTGATTATCACCAAATAGATCAGATCGATTGAACAAGTTTCCATTGTTGTCTGGGTCCCTATGTATAGCCCGGAGACCAGATGTTATTCTTTCAAATATGTGTAAAGTAATATTGAAGCTTTTCTTCACGATGTCGATGATGGAACGGGGAAGTCTTTGTTTAATGCTTCGTAACAAATGCGTGTTCAAGAAGGCTGAGTCCACTAATTAAGTTTTGCCGTTCCGAATTAGCGCCTGTTGATTGGGGCGGCGTTTTGTAGCAAAGCCGATCCATCTATCTAGGTACTCACTCGTACAAGTGACGATTTCTAAGGAATATTGACACTTCGACCCATACCAACTGGTTAATTTTGTGATTTGGATGTGCGAATATAGTCTTTTAATGATAGGTTATTAAAAGCAGTTTCTTTTACATTCATTGCGTCAAATTACACATCTTGAAAACAACCACAGTCGGCGCCGAGCTTTGCGCCTGTAAGGGGGGTTAACAAACAGGGTCGGCTTAACTTCAACATGGTATGGGACAACAAAGGCTTCATTACATTAGATCCCTTAGAATTTGGCATAACTGACAATAATTCTCTGGGCAGGGTATCAGTCGTCGTCCAAAGGGTGATAAAAATGCCTCTGCAGGAGAGAGTGCCCAGTCGGGAAAGCCGAATATCCAGAAGGCCCAGTTCGATACAACTAAGAAGAAGGAAGTTGGTGTATCCGATCTTACTTTGATCAGTAAGGTCTCAAACGAAGCAATCAATGAAAATCTTAAAATAAGATTCGAGAATAGGGAAATCTATGTATGGTCTACCTCCTCGCGACAGGCAAACAGAGTGATGGGAGGACTTCTAGGGTTATCGAGGACTGACAGTCTTGTATAGACATATATTGGGCATGTACTTGTCTCTGTCAACCCTTTTCGAGATTGTAAGTACTACGAGACACATTATCTGAGTGATGGGTACCTAACACTTCACAGTGGGCATTTATACAGATGCAGTCTTGGATAGTTACAAAGGCAAGAACCGTCTGGAGGTCAGTTAAAACCGAACCCACATGGTAAATGCCTACATTTCTAATAGTCTTTCAAGATGCCACCTCATGTCTTCGCCGTTGCAGAATCTGCCTACTACAATATGAATGCATACAAAGATAATCAGTGTGTTATTATTTCCGGAGAATCTGGAGCGGGAAAGACCGAGGCAGCGAAGCGGATCATGCAATATGTAGCCAATGTTTCCGGAGGCAGCAACTCATCCATTCAGGAGATCAAAGATATGGTTTTGGCGACAAATCCTTTGCTAGAGTCGTTCGGTAATGCGAAAACATTACGAAACAATAACTCATCTCGTTTCGGCAAATACCTTCAACTACAATTCAATGCGCAAGGAGAGCCGGTGGGCGCGGACATAACAAATTATCTTCTGGAGAAGACGAGAGTAGTCACTCAGATTAAGGACGAGCGGAATTTTCACATATTTTACCAATTCACCAAAGGGGCCTCGCAATCATATAGGGAGAACTATGGCATCCAACAACCGTCGCAGTATGTCTACACAAGTAGAGCCGAGTGCTTCGACGTTGACGGGATTGATGATCTCGCTGAATACCAGGATACTTTGGATGCCATGAAGATTATCGGTTTGTCGCAAGCTGAACAGGACGAGATATTCCGCATGCTAGCTGCTATCTTGTGGACGGGAAATATCCAATTCCGCGAAGATGATGATGGATACGCTACAGTTGTCGATCAATCAGTTGTTGATTTCTTAGCCTATCTTCTTGATGTTGATGCCGGCCACGTTATCCAAGCCATTACTATTAGAATCCTCACTCCTAGAAATGGGGAAGTCATCGAGTCACCTGCGAATGTTCCGCAAGCAATAGCCACAAGGGACGCTCTCGCCAAATCAATATATAGCAACCTCTTCGACTGGATTGTCGAGCGTGTCAACAAATCTCTTATTGCTCGAGCAGAGACATCGAACTCGATAGGTATTCTTGATATCTATGGATTCGAAATTTTCGAGAAGAACAGTTTTGAGCAGTTGTGCATCAACTACGTTAATGAGAAATTGCAACAGATCTTCATCCAGCTGACTTTGAAGACCGAACAAGAGGAATATGCCCGGGAGCAGATTCATTGGACGCCGATCAAGTACTTCGATAACAAAGTTGTCTGTGATCTAATCGAAGCTGTTAGGCCTCCAGGTGTATTCTCCGCCATGAAAGATGCAACCAAGACAGCTCATGCTGATCCAGCTGCATGTGACCGGACTTTCATGCAAGCAATTAGTGGAATGTCAAATCCTCATCTTACCCCTCGACAAGGTAACTTTATCATCAAGCATTATGCTGGTGATGTGAGCTATACTGTGGAGGGAATTACAGATAAGAATAAGGATCAACTTCTCAAAGGCTTGCTCAATCTATTTGGGCAGAGTAAAAATCACTTTATCCATGAACTGTTCCCCCATCAAGTTGATCAGGATAACAGAAAGCAGCCTCCGTCTGCTGGTGATAAAATCAAGGCCTCTGCGAATGACCTAGTGGCAACTTTGATGAAAGCAACACCATCGTATATCCGCACAATCAAGCCGAATGAAAACAAATCACCCACAGAATACAACGAGAAGAATGTCCTGCATCAAGTCAAGTATCTTGGCCTTCAAGAGAACGTTCGAATTCGTCGTGCCGGATTCGCATATCGTCAAACATTTGACAAGTTTGTTGAACGATTCTACTTACTTTCCCCCAAAACCTCTTACGCCGGCGACTATATATGGACAGGAGAATCAAAGACTGGAGCCATGCAAATTTTAAAAGATACCAATATACCCACCGAGGAATTTCAAATGGGCGTGACCAAGGCATTCATCAAAGCTCCTGAAACCTTATTCGCTCTAGAACATATGCGAGATCGTTACTGGCATAACATGGCCGCTCGAATTCAACGTGTGTGGAGGGCGTTTTTGCAAATCCGAATCGAAGCTGCCACTCGGATTCAGAGGATGTTCAGAAAGAAGAGAGAGGGCAAGGAATTCTTGGAATTGAGAGAAAAGGGACACCAAGTTCTACAAGGACGCAAAGAGAGAAGAAGATACAGTCTCGTTGGTTCAAGACGTTTCATGGGCGATTACCTTGGAATCGCAGCAACCACTGGCCCTGGATCAAAAATTCGTGGGTCAATCAATTTGCCAGCCAACGAAGTCACTCTTTTCTCCTGCCGTGGTGAAATTCTTGAGACAAAATTTGGTCGATCAAGTAAGCTTAGCCCTCGCATCTTTATCATGACGCGGGCGAAATTTTACATCGTCAGTCAACAGCTTGTCAATAAGCAGGTTCAAATTGCTTTGGAGAAAGCTATCCCCCTTGGAGCCATCAAATTTGTTAGCGTATCGACGTCTCGCGATGACTGGTTTTCCTTAGGCGTAGGCTCACCACAGGAAGCCGATCCACTTTTGACCTGTGTGTTTAAAACTGAACTTTTGACACACATGCAAGGGGCTATGCCTGGTGGCGGGTTTAACTTAAAGATAGGAGACTCGATCGAGTATGCCAAGAAGCCTGGCAAGATACAGTTAATCAAGGTCGTCAAAGACTCTCAACAACATCAAGATCACTACAAGAGTCATACTATCCACACACAAGCAGGCGAGCCACCCAATTCTCGATCAAAGCCCATGCCGAAAGGCAAGCCTGTCGAGGCGAAACCATTCACCAAAGGTCGTCTCATCAAGCCTGGAGGGCCTGGAGGACGACCATCAAAACTGACGAACGGAAATCGACCAACTCCCAAGCCAGTCCCTGCACTGGCTGCAGCAAGGCATGTACTTACACCCGCTGCAGCAAGACCTGTACCTGCCGCCAACCCTGTTGCAGCCTCCATTCCAGTGCACACGAGAAATCCTTCGGCACAATCGACAAAATCTAATCGAGCCATGCCACCTCCTCCACCACCCGCTCCACCCGCTCCTCCTCCGGCTCCAGTATTAAGGGAACCTCAATACCGTGTACTCTACGCATTCGCTGGACAGAGTGCTAATGAATTCTCCTTGAAGCAGGGTGAGATAGTGACTGTTCTACAAAAGGAGACAAATGGTAAGTCTGCTCTGATAAAGGTGTAATAAGTGCGTTTTAACTAATAATGATTAGGTTGGTGGCTTACTAAAAATGTCCGTGGTCAAGGTTGGGCACCCACTGCTTACCTCGAAGAAGTGGCGCCACCACCACCTGTCGCAGCTCGTCCAACACCACCTCCACCACCACCTCCTGGACCTCCGAAGATGAATGGTACAAACGGTGCTGCCATTCGCTCTAAACCTACTCCTCCTGCACCACCGGCCAAACGTCCAGCAGCCGGTCGGAAGCCAGCTCCTCCCCCTGCGCCTCGCGATTCTGGTATGAGCATTTCTAGTAATGGAAGTGGCAACAACAGCGGGCGAAGCACTCCAACCCCAAGTTTAGCCGGCGGTCTAGCCGAAGCCTTACGAGCGAGACAAAGCGCAATGCAAGGTAACACTAAAAAAGAAGACGAAGACGATTGGTAGACGACGAGAGGCGATATCATGTGAAATTAATTTTGCCATAAGACAAGAGAGAAGAGAATGAGATCGAAGCAGGCGGCTAAAATGCAAATATGATGAATCGATGAAGCGAAGCAATATATGATGAGCGAATAGACACCATTTCTTTTAAATGCAATCTGGCAGGATTGAGGTTGGTGGCCTTTTCTACGAATCCTTGCACGGAGACATGATATTATTTGCAATGGTATGTATGGAATTGAATGCATGCATGCAGTGCATCGGGGAGCGTTTTCTGCAGCGACATAGAAAAAGCAGCGAGCGCGAGCGCGAGTTTTCTTGAAATTTTCGTCTGACTGGGAGGATGGGGGCGTGGTTACGATAGAGAAGGGAGGGGCTTTATTTGTATAGAAGTTATGTTTTAAATACCTAGAGTTCATTTCAAATTGATAGATAAGTACAAGTACATTTGTGTATGTGGGTTTCTATTGTGAGGACTTGCTATTATGCATGCAATACAATACAATACAATATATTGTGAATGGACAGAGTAGAGCGAGTAGCTGAGCAGTGATAGGTAGGTAGGTAGTGAAAGCAAAATTTCTCTATTAAAGAATTTCCTATAGAGAGGTTCTGCTATTCCTAATGCTCATGGCGAAAGGTTTATGAACTGCTAGCTACTCACTTATCTCCTCTCCTCATGCACATGATCCAAACCCCACCCCGAAAGAGATCAAAAGGAAACCCTAGAACCCTAATATTCATGCATGCAGTCCTAAAGAGGCAAAAATGCATGATTGAGCCGTGAGCTCCCAAAAGAACCTAAGAAACATTCCATCGTAATCGTGATCTTCACCTGCAGAAAACTAATTACGATCTAATCTTCGTCTCAAATTCCTCGTCCGGCGCATCAGCTTCTTATACTTGTGTTTCTTCATTTTGAGTTTTCGCTGTCTCTTCACACTAATGGCCCACATGGTTGCTCGCTCCTTGCGACGGATTTTCATGCGCTCGAGATAGCTTCTTGGTGGGTCTTCGGATACTATTGGGCCACTTTCCGCAGTGTATGTAGTTTCGCCGTTTGCGTCGACTGATTCGTTGATCGTGAGAAGGGTGGTGTAGGTGCGTTGTTGGGGGAGTTGCGCCTCCTCGTGTTCGGCGGCGGCTTCGGCACCGGCGATGAGCGATTCCTCTGTGCTCATAGGGACGGGCGCGGGAGGAGGGGAGAATGGCGTGTATTTGCGGGCATGCATTGAGCGGGGTAGTTCGTCGATATTGTCCAGATGTTGAACTCTGTATGAATCGGCGGTGATGCCGGCGCGGAACTCATCTGTTTCTTCGTTCCATTGGTCTTGAATATTAAGTTGTTTGAGGGACCCCGTAGCAGAGTCGAGAGATTGAAGTGTATTGGAGAGTGTGGTTATTACTTCTTGCGATTTATTTGCTCGTGTTCGTGGGGTGAAGATAGAGGCGAATGCTTCGTCAGTTACGACTTTAGGGAAGTTCATAGTGAGGGACATGGGTCTATGAAGGGAGAAGAATGCAGATGCGGCAATTTCTGCAAGGTATACGTTAAAAGTGTTTCTGTGTATGTATGAAGCCTGCCAACTTACGATTCGGCGCAATGTGACTGGTACTAGGCACACTAGGTAAGTTGTGCATGGTATCGTCTTTGTTTGCAGCACTTGTTGAAGCATCCTTTGCCTTCCTTCTCCCCGCTTTCGAAGCTTTCTTTTCGCCATCAGGTCTTGCTCGTGATGGGGATGCAGGAACAGCCTCCCCCTCCGCTACTCCCTTGGATCCATTTGCCGGGCTTGAAGGTTTCGACGAAGAAGAGGAGGATAATCGGCGTTGTTGGCAACGAAATGCCATGGCTCGGGAGGTAGCTGCTCGTGGTGCGACATTGTGGACAGGAAGTAATATCGGTAATGGTGGCGCTGTCAAAGCAACTCTTCGAACGGATGAGGTGAACATCCTTTCTCGTAATAGTGTCGAAGTGGAGTTTCGTCAGTATCCAGAAGATATTTGACTTGTAAGCCTTATCTCAGTTTCCTATTCCAAAAGGTTGCGCGATCGCTAAGAGTTAGGCGCCGGCGTTAAGTTAGCGTTCACGTGATAACGCCACCTTACGCATTCATCAGTCCAATACCAAAAAAAACACAGCCACAAGTTCTCGGAGTTGGATATGTCCAAAGGGAGATACTCATGAGAAAGGAGCATGCGGTACAGATGGGAGGGATCTTGTCGGAGTGGAACAAGTTAAGCGCTGTCATTTTCTCAGTATCATACACGCGGTCTTTTTCATCCTTCCTAATTACCTTCAAGTGAAATGAGTGAGGCAAGCAAGAAGTCACAATTGCTCATCCTGTTGGTATCTAGGAGTAATATAAAGCTCTCACACAGATTTCAAATTTGCACAATTCCCATCAACAAACATATCCCATGGCGCAGTGTTATAACAAAACAGCATCCGGGCTCCTAGAGATCCTTCTATACCGTGGAGCTCCTACCAATTACCAGGCCAGTGACGAAACTGTAACAGCATGGAATTTCTCTACGAACATGGTTGTCTGGATCTACAGCAAATATGGTATCCTTTCAATGGTGTTAGACCAATCCCATACTCTTTGATATGAGTCAAAAGAGTCACAATGATAATCTCAATGCTTGGAAGCTCATAATTACTGGATATTTAGACAGAAAAAGACCTACCGGTATTCCATCAATGTCAAGAAATGCCAGCGATATTACTCCGAGTCTTTCTCCGTTCGATAGGTAGATAATATCGGGCAACCTTTTCCAACCCCAACCTTCTTTTGGATCATTCTCCAAGGCATGTATCTATTGGGATATCCCATCTGCTCTTTCTCCACGAGCTCCTTCCATTCCGGTCGGTGGGCCTTTTGGGCCCCCGTAAGCGCGGCTTATGAAGAAGTCAATCCCGTCGCCAATGATCGATTTGGAAGATATCTAATGTATCAGAAAAGAGGTTGGACGATCTGTGTGTTGCGGGGCCGTTGCCACAACTTGCTGATGATTGTTTGTGAAATCCTCATATGCTACCGGTATTCAAAAATCTTATATACATAAAAATCGTACATACCGGTATGTTATTAAAGCAGAATTCCACATTATCATCATCACCCCGAGAAAAGCTATTTATATTACCATGTACCATGCAAGATATGAAATTTAATCATGGCTGTAGGAGACATCCAGACTCCAGAGGCATCATCGAGATACAAAGAGGTTATTGTTATTAGCATTTTTCTGCTGGCAAACTAATTTATGGATTAATGCTAATTCAAGTGCCTATTTATTCCCTGTAAGCTAGTCTCAATGTATGAGACTACTAATTAGGCACTTAAATCCTCGTCTAGTCCCCTAGCTTTCCGGTTATTCTATCGAACAACATTATGAGTAGGCGTTTTTATCAGTATTCTCTTCGGTAGCTAGGCCGGGGAGAAAAAATTGTATAAACGGCTTAACGGCGAATCTGGTGGTTATAATTTAGACTGGATGTCCAATCGAATTTAACATATCGATTCACACACTCCAAACACACAAAAACATTGAAAGCTTGTTCGATGAACGACACCAAACATGAGCAGAAGATCAACGTCAATTCGCTTTAGCTATCTGGTACCGTTATTGGTACCATCATTGATTCATAAAAGACATGACATCACAAACCATCCTCCCTGTAGCACCGAATATTATCCTTATCCATCCATGCATCTAGCAATCCCTTACATGAATTTACTAGCCAAGCCCATCAATCCACTCATGCCGCCACCCGAGCTTCCACCTCCCTGACTCTTCATGTACATCTTGAGAGCCATCTCGCCAGCTTTTTGAACAACGCTTTCCTTGGAAGAATCGGAGGCGACGTTTCCTTGGCTGCTTTGCTGATCGAATAACTTGCTGGCTTGTCCCATCGCCATTCCAACAAATGCGTTTTGTGAGTTTCCAGACGAGGAGTTGCCGGAGGATCCACCGCTGAACATCTTGAGTGCTTGCATTGCGGCGGCACTACCCATGCTGGATGAAGAGGCGGAAGAACCGCCCGAGGAGGATTCACCTCCGTAGAACTGTTTGTGGGAATTTACGGCTTCTGTTTTCATATCATTAGTTCATTTCTGTATGTGGTATCAGTCTAGATGAAATATCGTACCTTCTTCATCGACATCCTGGTTACTAATGTCATGCTTGTTCTGACCCAAGTAACCCAAGACACTCGAAAACATGCTCTTATCACCAGAGCCACCGGAATGTTCTTCAGCATGATTAGCTGCACCATTTAAATCCTCATCATCGGTACCATATCCTCCACCGCCGCCATATGGGTTGTTTCCACCTCCTCCATATCTCTCATCGCGACCACCGTGACGGATTTCTTCTTGTCCTCCTTGTCCACCACCTCCATAATAGCTTTGGGCCTGACCACCACCTTGACGGCTTTCTTCGTTGAAATTTCCACCTCCGAATGCGCCACCTTGTCCACCGTGGTGACCTTCTCTTCTTTCTGTAGGAGCTTATGAGCATCAAGTGTCTTAGAATAGCAGGGGGACTGGATGGAGAGTATATTACCTTCACCACCATATCCACCGCCCTGTTGTCCGCCATATCCGCCACCTTCATTTCCGTAACCTGACATACTTTCTATTGTTTGATTTAATTTGGTTGATTCTGTGAAGGTAATGTTGTTAGCTAAGAAGAGATGGCTTGTGCGGGGTAAAGCTAAAGAGCTTTCATCAAAACACAACCTGCTCTGAAACTTTCAAATCTAACTTACTATTTGGGAGTTTTGTAGTAGGTTTCTTATAAAGTGCTAAGTTTTTAAGCTTGTCAAGTTGTTGGAAGAAATAATTTGTTGATTGTAGCTCGTAGAGTCGTAGAGAAAGCTTGATATATTTATAATTTGGAATCAACTGAGTTCGATACACATGATGACGTTACGTGGTGGGGTAGCTGTGAACCCCTATTGGTGTGGAGCATATACGCTCGCTTGATTGGCTCATTTGTGAATGTTGTGTGACTGTAACCATTTCAGCTTGACGTACAAGCTAATTATAACTGATGTTTCAGATTACTTAAATGAGATAGATAACCGGATCTCAATCAGGGTATCCAATAGTCCAGACTGCAGTTCAACAATAACATATTCTTAATTCCTGTATATATCTTAAGCAATATTTTGAATTGAAATATTGAATATATCTGAAATGTTGAAACTATTTCAGTTGTTAAATATATTCTAATTAGACTATAGTCCGGACTATTTGATACTCTGATCTCAATAGTACAAGAAGGAAGTAGTAGAGAGCTTTTAAGGATTCGAGATCTTGCCTCTCTACAAGTACTTGATATAAGGAAATCGGTCATTTATGATAAGTATTATTTTAGTATGTGTATTGTACTTCCAAAGCATGTAATGAGATTTGAAACTAAACCAATCCTTCAATATTGATAGCCACCTCTTCCGGGGGTCTCTCAATTGCTATTCTCTTACCCTCCCTCACCCCTAACCTCCCGAGTACTTTCCTCCCTTCCTTTTCCTTATTATGAATTTCATACTTTATATTTTGAATCCAAGTTGTTATTATACCCTTATAATCGTTACCTCTTAATCTATATAAACAATTAAAACCATTCCGACTTACTAAATATCAAAATATTAAAACCATTCTAACTTACTAAATACCGATACTAAATATTGAAACACTGAAAATTTTCAGATTGAAAAAACAAAAAAAAGATTGAAAGATTTCGATAGATACTATAGATGAATTTGAAATCACTGATTTAGTACTCGTATAAAAAAAATGAAGCGATATTGAATCAAAAACTAATTAATTCATAGTATTAGATATAAATCATGATTTCAGATCTCAATATAAGATTTCAGTAATCGAGTACATCTCAATACATGATCTAGTATAATAATTCCATACCGATGAGGGAAATTTTTATATGTGGTATCTGTAAGGTAGGAGAAGTGTAATTATCATTATTTACTGATCTCGTACAACGAGGGATGATTCGGCTCCCTACTTGAGTATACTTCTATCAATCTAATGTATCCTCTATGATTCCCACAACGCCACGCATGTCATACCAAGGGCCTCCTCCAAGAAAAAATACGGCCATCTAAGCCTCTATCAGATCAATAACCATCATCTAATCCCCCCACGTTCATTTCTCCTCAGCCGACTCCGCATCGACCCCCCTTTCTCCTTCCGTCAACCCCTGCAACGTCTTATGTTCAACCTCCAACGAATACCCCTTCACAACGAACTCGATATAAGTGCGGCACCACCCAACGCACACATCACAACACAAAGCATCTTCAGAGAATCCGCATAAGCTTGTTTGAGTTGCATTTTCTCCAACCCATCATCCATACCCTTGATCAATGAAACCAAAGCCGTAGCATCTTTACTATACTGCGTCGCCATCGATGCGAACAATGGATACGAGAGAAGTTTCTCTTTAATCTGGTTTTGGAAAACGACGCCACCGATTGCAACACCGATCGCTTGACCGAATACACGAGTAAAAGCGTATAAAGCTGCGGCGTGGCCGGCGTCTTGAGGTCGAGATGCGGCTTGGTTTCCTAGAGACATGGCGGGAAAGAGCATGCCTATACCGGTTGATATTGGAATATTGAGGAATACCCACTGAACGATGGATGTTTTGGGTTCGAGGAGGTATAATAGGCCAGCTCCGAAAGTGACGAGAGTCCAGCCTGACCAGAGCGCCCAACGGTAACGACCTGTCGCAGCGACGAGAACTCCGACTATTACGGACATAGGCTAGCGTTATATTAGGGGATGTTAAACTAAGCATGCGAAATATGATAAACTTACAGCCACGAAACCAGTCTCAGGCAAGACCGCGACACCTGAAATAATCGGTGTGTACCCTTGAACTGCTTCATAGTACAAGGGGAGATAGTACAACAAAGACCAAACTACCATTCCATGAACCACAGTCTGGAAGTATATAAATATTGTCGATCAAGTGGTGAAAATGCTAAAGCGGATGATGGGTTCTATATTATCTCCTGGGATGACCTCCCCTTCGGAATCAAATGCTCGATCTGAAAGTCGTTTCTCGTAGAATGCGAATGCGACAATGCCTGCCACTCCAATCAAGAGAGGGAAAAGCACTCTCCATGAATCCCATGCATACATAACACCACCTAGTTTTAGGTTAGCGATACGCGTTATAGATTTCAGCGGACAATCATACCCCATGTAATAGGTATCAAGAAAGATATTGTCGAAGAAACAAAGACGACAGAACTAATCCAATCAAACTTTTTGACCTTTGCCAACAAATTTCCTGGTGTACGGTTCATTTTCAAAAATATAATGATAGCGATTGCGCCGGATACGATGATAGGGATATTGATCCAGAAAATCCATCTCCAAGAAACATTTTGTGCGGAAGCTAAAGACTTAGTTTAGAGTGGACATTCATTCCTGGGAGTATGATTGAGAACTCACCACCACCCATCAATGAACCCCCTACACTTCCGATAGCCCAAATACTACCTGCTAACGATTAGCTCATGTACTGTCCGAAAATCAGATAGAAGCAGGGTATCCAATAGTTCAGACTGCATCCAACAATAAGAGATTCAAATATTTATTCTGATTTGAAACATTGATTACATTTGGAATAATGAATTGCTTGAAACGATTTAATTGTTTTCAAAGATCAAGAACTTTCAAATATTGAAATTTCTCCAAGTGGACTACAGTCCGGACAATTAGATACCCTGGATAGAAGCATACCCATATATCCAAAGTATGCACCTCGCACAGCGAGAGGAACTAAATCATTAACAAGAATCTCGCCCAGCGACAAAATTCCATCGCCACCAATTCCCTGTACGCTTCTACCTAAAAGCCTGTCATACCATTAGCTAATCGATCGTTAATGTGCCATTTTCGTACCCACTAACAACAAAGTAAAATTATTGGCAACAGCCGCCAGAATCGAGCCGAGTCCAAAGAGTACAGCGAATCCAAGAAGTGCTTCTTTTCTCCCAAACACATGACTCAATCCTGCAATCACAGGTTGAGAAACCGCACTTGTTAGAAGAAAACTAGTTCCGGACTAGAAAGCTTCGATAGTGGTTCCTCCAAGCTTTGTTGTGATAATTGGAAGAATAATACTCAGAGAGCTAACATCAAATGCTGCTACAAATGCAATAAAATATATGGAGGCAAAGGCGAAAATAAAAACCGTGGTGGGTTTGAATCCAACTTTTGATTCTGGTATAACGTCTATAAATGCTTTTTCTTGGATACTGATAGAAACATCTGAAATACTTGTATTTGAGGACATTTGATATTTGGTTGAAGAAATCTTCAGACCAGGGATATCCAGAGATGCTTTTATGATGAAGGAAGTAAAAAATATGCTGTGATAATTAAACTGTATGAGAAAAAGATGCTTTCGAAGTAGAATGTAAGTCTGACAAGTACAGGAACGAATAAAAAACAAATTGATTCTTTAGTATTAGATCGAATTGGCTTAATTTATACAAAATATAATATAAAACCAACAAACCTGGGCAATTCAATTCCTATATAAGTATCAAGGTCCTTAACCAAGCTATTCAAAGAAAAGCAAATTGTGTTCCGAATCCTAGTAAATCAATCATCAAAATATGGAGAAACATCATCGCAGCAACAAAAACTACGACCGTATCAACCACATCTCAACAACGCCTAACCTACTCCAGCGTCCCGAGAAACGTCAATTCCTCCGCCCCAACGGCCTTCGCAGCCCACTCTTGAGAACTTTCTTCATAAGTTCATCATGATTACTTTCACTTGAAAACCCGGTGCACTCGCACCCTGACAGAGATGGGCATTCCCCTGACGGGATACCATTTTGTGAGTCCATATCCATTATCCCCAGCATATTGGGCAGTCTTCATCTACGTGTGTGTGAACATGAAGACATCCGACGGTATAACAATGCCCCTCGTGTTAAGAATCCTTGCTGCACGTGACCCGTTAGCGAGCCGTCTAGACCCGTCTCACTTCTTCGGATTCTGGTATAACATCCGAGTCCGAGGTGGATGCCGCAAGGCTGTCTGTAAGGCTACATACATGCTAAATAAAACACGAATGTGAATTTAAGGGGGGATTACTCGAGTATTTTCCTTTCCTTCAATATCAAATCAGATGTTGATGTAAATCCATATCTCAACAATGACGCATGCGCGTCTTTTTTCCCGATGCCGACTCAAGTCGATTTCAGATCTTGCACAGGCTTTCTGCTATTTTCACATGCTGTTTTTGACATATGGGTCGCAGATATTATTTTATTATCTTGAGCCGGGTCCATTGAGTAGGAGGGAGGCGGTGATTCTTAATGCGAGTGCGTGGGCGATGCTCTGGTGTTATTATCGGACTTGTCATGTTGATCCGGGGAGGGAAGGGTGGGTTGATGGGGTGAAGATTGATGGGATAGAGGAGAAGAGGGTTGAAGGTGAAGGTGAAGGTGTAGAAGGGATGGAGTGGACGAATGTGAGGTGGTGTAAGAAATGCGATGCTGTGAAACCACCGAGGGCACATCATTGTAAAAAGTGTAAACGGTATGCTTCTCACTCATAGCAATTACTTGAACCAGAATCACAACTTACCTCCCTCTCAAAGTTGCATCCCAAAAATGGATCATCATTGCCCTTGGACCAACAACTGCGTCTCTCACACCACATTTCCCCACTTCATCCGCTTCCTCCTCTACGCCGTCCTCTCCATCACAATCCTCAGCACCTACCTCTACACCCGCATCAGCTACGTCGTTTCCGAAAGCACCCTCCCATCCTACCTCGGACCCTCCACCACCTCCCTCACTTTCCTCTTCATAATCTTCTGTTCCACCGGCCTCTCCCTTTTCGCCATGTCCCTCCTCTTTATCCGAACCGCCTACTCTCTGGCTACAAACATATACATGATAGAAGCCTGGGAAATCGAACGCCACGATGCCATTATCGATCGCTCGAAGACCCGTAATATGCGCGGATATGTGTATGCGAATGGAGGGCGCAAAGTTCGTGTAGACAAAGTGGAATTTCCGTTTGATATTGGGATTTGGGAAAACATCGTACAAGGAATGGGGACAGCAAATGTGTTGATGTGGTTTCTGCCTTTAGCCGGAGGACCAAGTGTGGAGAGTGCGGGAAAATGGGAGGAAAATGGTTTCAATGATAAAGAAGGCATGTGGCCACCTCCAGATCCAGATAAGTTGGGAAGAAGAGCTGGATGTAGTGGAGTGGAGACATATAAATTAGACGAGAAGGTATATGGAACTGTAGACGAAGAGAGAGAGGCTTTTAAAAAAAGACAAGAGGTAGATCTAAAACGATGGAAGAAGGACGACACAAGTACCGTGGGTAATGGTGGAGACGGATATTATGAAGAAGAGAACGAAGATGAGGATGAGGAATATGTGAGCGAATATGAAGAGGGACTCGATGGGGAAGAAGGGTGGACCAATTCGGAGGGTGATAGATTGAGGGATTATGGAGTAGATGAAGAAGCGGAAAATGTGGATGAGGATGATATACCATTAGGAGAACTAATTCGACGACGCAAAGCAAGGAACTTTCAATCAGATTAGATAGAATAGAACTACTAGTTTACTGTAGATCAATATTTTATTCTTCTGAGAAGGAAAACCGTCATGAAGGTGTAGATACACGTATTCCCGTCCGATCCTTCAACCAGATTTCGAAGGTTGGAAGAACTTCGAACTTCCAAATGTTTTCACACACCCATTTCACGTAAAGTCCAAAGTATCCAAACCACTCCAATCCAATCATACCAAAACCAAGGCAAGTAAAAGCACCAAATCATTAAAATCTAAAACTCAACCATATGTACCCAGCATTGCTGCTCTACCCTCATACGTTCTATCAACAGGTATATCCACCGTCCCATTCCACATCATTTCAAACCAATAATACATCATAAAGGTTCATGAACCCATTCCATTCCCGTGGCCCTTTGAAACGCCTGATGAAAATCTTTGTGCCTCCCATATTCTTGCTGAAAATATACAATGAAAACCCCAAGTTTGCTCTCCAACGCTGACTTCAAATATCATGGGGGATTAGGCCCAGGATATTTGTGTGTGTGTTCATCATCGCATCTTCTACGAGTTTAGAAGTAGATTAGATAGCAAAACAAGTAGCAAAAACCACCGCAATCATAACCCACCACCCCAACCCCTCAGCAATCGTCTTCCTAGCCGCGGAATCCGTTCCCCCACTTGCCGTCGTCCCATTCGGTAACGTGCCATTAATCAAGATCGTCGTGGTCCCATTAACATCCGCAACATTAACCAGCGATTTATTCAACGCCGCATAGTTTCCATCCCCAATTAGCTCAGCGATAAACGTACTATTCCCATTATCATCACATCCGCACTCCGAGTACGCAGCACAGAGACATGTCACCGGTCGCGTCTGTTCAACACCTGTGGTATCGGATTCCTGACGTGTTTCAACGGCTGCTGTTGTGTTGGTGCCATTGGTGGCAGAGTGGTTGCGGAATGAATATGGGTTGTGGTATGGATAGCTGTAGGCGCCATAGAGCCAGAGACCGGGGTAGATGGAGAGAAGACCGACGCCGAGGAAGAGGGGGGCGATTCCTAGAGGTGAGCTCCTCCCTGATGAATAGGGTGTGGTTGCTCCTCCGCCGTACTATTTGTATTAGGTTAATCATCAATACAACATTTTTGAGAAAAGGTGCACATACATATCTCCCACCACCATAAGCAGGAGCCGGACCAGACCCAGCTCTTGTGGCGCCACCCGTCGAAGAAGACGATGAAGTGACTCCTCCTTTGCCACCGGAAGAAGAAGAACTGCTTTTTTCAGAGTTAGAGCTAGCTCCATTGCCACTCCCATAAGAAAGTGCTCTGAAAGCACCCCTAAGTTTCCTCTTAATCAAAGAAATGATAATTCCATTTCCATCCCCAGCACCACTTTCCCTTGCCCCATTTCCCACATCCGTCTCAAGTCTAGAATTGAAAGAACCTCCATTTGCATACCTTGAAGATGAACCTCCGCCTTTTCCCCCACTGCTCGAACCCCCGCCACCGCCTCTTCCACCACCACCTCCTCCTCCTTTACGCTTAAATAGATCGCGCTCTTCGTTTTGGCGCGAATACCAGGTAAAATCTGCTTCGGCTTCTGCTTCGGCTTCAGCTTCGGCATTCGCATTCGCATTTGCATCGCGCACAACAAGTTCGCCTTCGGCTTCGGCATTCGCATTCGCATTTGCATCGCGCACAACAAGTTCGCCTTCGGGTATATATTGCGGATACGCAAATGAAGGGGTTGAAGAAAGGAATAGCAAAGCGACTGTCCAGAGATGCGACCTCATGATTAAGAATAATCTCCTTCAATGAAGTATGTTATTTCTTCCCGGGAGAGTTTAAAATATCGCAATACCTTTGAAGGAACAAATTATCCCTCCCCGCAAAAATAAAAAATATTAATGTAAGATGTAGTTGGATTAAACTTTGACTTCCAAGCTTAATTGATTTTATGTATGATTCAAAACTCAAAAAGTTTCCGATATATGCTTGTTTCAACACAGCTTAGCTTGGCTTATAGTGTATTTGTTTGTACTTTGAATTCTTCAAATTCGTCTTTGCAGATGTATAACGTATACTGTGTAATCGCCTCTCAGTCGGGAAGTCGCATCACATATACTTATATATATTCTCGGAGTCTGACGTACGGATACCCAACTTGACTTACGGTAAATGCAGACTAGCTCAGCCTCAGCCTAGCGCCGACTTAGCACAGCCAAGAAATCACCTTACTGTCCGCCTCACCCTAGTTCAACTTCCGACTCCGACTCAAATAATTCAAATAAGTTTGGCATGGTTTTGTTTCTGGTGAAAAAGGAACCAATGAATGTCTAGCACTGCCACGGCGCCTTGGCACATGTCATTTTCCTAAGATCTTTGTTAACTACGGTACTATTCTGATGATTTTTATATCAGAGATTTTGGGCTTTCTCCTGAGACTCCGAGAGTAGATAAGCACTTGCGTGAAATTCAATGATTAGACAGACTACTGAGTAGGTAAAAATGGTATTTGAGCAGGAGCTTTTAAATGATAAGACATACCATACCGTATTTACTCAAATTGTTTAAGAAATCTTTTAGTCATTTAGTCACGATTAATTAGGGGCATGGCATGAAAAGATTTAAGCATATCTCCGGTCCATAATTTCAAGCACATTATCTGGTCTACCGTCTACCCCAGCCCAGCCTTTCCTTCTTTCCTTGATTTCCGGGTCCATCTAAATGATCGATCTAATCTATAATCTGGGAAAACTCTCCACCTTGGACAGAACCTTATGTTTATATCGATAACGCAATGTGGAATATATACTCGTACAACGGCCTGTAAACATCCCGATCGCTTTAGGTGTTAACATTCCTTGTGTTTTCGGTGATGGCGGGTTTGATCATTGGGGCTGGGATGTGAGATCTTGTCTGATCCGGCAGATCTAATTGCTGCTAGAAATATTCAATATTGTGGAATGAGATGAAGGTGCTAGTGGAGGCGAATTTACATGTCATCGAGCAAGGCTTTTTTTTTAAACTAGCGGAGGCTTAGAACCCGCACTAGAAGTATTTCTTTGTTCTAGAGTCACAGCTGACTTGAAACTGTCGTCAAGAGTTTCGGTATCAAGACATAGAAGTTCACCAGAATCATGGTAAATGTTCTAGAGTTTTGATACTTTGTGTTGATCCTTTTTAATTATCCAGTCGTCCCAAATCTGACGGTATTACTCAGTAACATTGCTATCAAAGGCTCATAGCTAGCTAAACCTAAATCTCCCCAAAATGCTCATCTGACCGTTCCTATGATAGCTCCTTCTCCAAAACAGCTGGTGCGGTAATGGTTTGGCCCTTCAACTTCTCCAATCCTTCTCCACCCTGTGCAGATGATTAGCTTGACCTAATTGCGGGGTAAGGGGAAAGGTTCAACTTACGTAACTGATTAATGGAGAAACTTCGATACCATCGTCGGTATTCTCGCCAACAACGGTAGCACCTGCAGCTTGTGCCCATCGTTTACCTTGATCCATGATATGTTTCTTACTGGTATCTGGATCATCTTCACCTGTGCCCTTTGCGTTCTTCAGCGGTGAGAATTCATCCTCACGTTTGACTTCCATACAAGCAAATTTATTAAGTTCCAACATTGGAAAGACGTCGAAGACAAATTGCTCAAGCTTGATACCGTTTGGCTTCTCGGGTTTCACGGTCGTACCCTTCTCAGTATCCACATAGGGGATCTTCTTTCGTGCAACGTGGTGAGGTAATTTGTGGGCCCATTCGGGGATCGACTCCAGGAATCGGAATGAATAGTAGTGATTGACGATGTTTGCTGCCCTAAACTTTAAGACATCCGGTTGCTTGGTATCTTTGGCTTCGGCAGTTTCCATGTCAATTTCGGAATATTCAACAACATCTGGCTTGCCATTCTTGAGAAGGATTAGACCAACGGACTCTGTAGCATCTCTTTTTCGCACAACCTTTGTAGCAATATCGACATCTTTAGAAGCTGAGAAACCAATGAATACTGGATCTGCTACCTTGACGAGACAGTTGTCTACACAATATGCGTGAATGTGTTGAATACCCCGGTTTGTCATGTCAGACATAACATTTGATGTGACAATGGCTTGGTAAATACCACCATTTCCATCCGGTGCAACAGCAACTCTACCCTTACTCTCCAAAAGAATCTTACCATCATTCGAAATACAAGGAAGAACCCCTTGCTCGAAAATGATAACATTCTCCTTTTCCAAACCAAAGTATTTGTTTTCCTCAAAGTACTTTGCGGTAGGTCCTCGGGTTGGTCCACTGGTCATAACATACCATGGAACCACCACCTTTTTATCCGCTGCAAGACCAGCCTTTTTATGTGCCAACCTCTGAACTCTGCGAATGCGTTCTGCCTGTATTTGAAAAAGAGATTTTTCGGAAGGTAGGCCAATATTGAAGCAACCCTTGGGAGCTGAACTTCCTAATCGGGTTCCTTGTCCGCCAGCCATGAGCACCACTGCAACCTTATTCTCAGCAATCAAATCCAAACCCGATGCATACCACTTCTCAATATCTTCAGCTTTCGAATCGAGGATACTGGCGGTCGCAGATTCAGGGAGTGGTTCAAGACCAGTTTCTTTGTCGGCATCTTGGGTTTGGGGTGGGTTGAGGAGAGCCTTTTCGGTGATTTTGTTGATATATTCGGGGTCGAAGCCGGAAAGTTGTTCGTAAAGAGCAGCTTTTTCTGCGACGTCGAGGGAATCGTAAAAGGTAAAAACTTGGTCTTGATTTGCTCTGGCGTACTTCTCCTTGAGCTGTTGGAGCTCGGTGGAGCTGGGCTCTTTTGGAGGGGCAGCTTGTGCCTTGCCTCCAATGTGCAATGTATCGAGAACTTTCTGAACGGATTCCATGATTTGTATTATGTAGGGTATGACAGTTGAGAAAATGCAAGAATAGAGAAGATCAGGGGGGAAGAAGGATGGCGTTTATATAACTTTTAAATCTGTCTTGTTGAGGGGAAGGCACGGCACAGCCCAGCCCCACCATGTCTTTCATTCACCGTTACGAACAGCATAAATAATGAGGGGTCGCTAGCAACAGTACCCAGCCAGCCTCTTGTCTGACACGTTCGTATTCTTCATTCGCACATTGGTACGTTGAAGATGCAAATAGCTACACTTAACACATGTGACGTTACGAGTCTCTTCATGTTACTACTGCTCGTATCATAGTTATGGTAATCATCATTCTGGATGATTCGTCGCATCACCCGACGTCATTGCTACCCCTACTTTGAAATAACTGACCCTGCAGATCTGTACCTAAACACCATCTCGTCCAACATTATGGGTAGAAAACAAGACTCCAAATATTTCAAGCAGGAAGAGAGTGAAATAGATGAATCAGATGCTGCAAATAACTTATCAGCACCAAGCTTTGGAAGCAAATTGAACCTCTCTTCATTCTCATACTCTCCAGCTTCAACCTCCGATCCTACCAGACAAAGTTCCCGGAAACCCCTATCGAACGCATCGACTCCTCGACCATCCCTCTCTCCCCTAAAACGCAAACTCGACACCAATTTCTGTACATCTGCGAACCCCTCGCCCTCCCTAGCCAAAAAATCTCGTCCCCGCACTCCTACAGGCTATGCGCCACCCTCACTCTACGCCCACCTCCCACCTCTCCCCGACGTGCTTGCCCCTGACCTCCTTTGTCTCTTCGTAGGTCTCAACCCTGGTATACAGACCGCTCGAGATGGCCACGCTTACGCACATCCTTCGAATCTTTTCTGGAAGCTCCTCTATTCTTCGGGTTGTACTACTCGTCTTCTGAAACCCGAGGATGATGTACGGTTGCCAGAGTTGTGTTCTTTAGGGAACACGAATATTGTAGAGCGGCCGACGAAAAATGGGAGTGAGTTATCGAAGAAGGAGATGGATGATGGGGTGAGCATATTGGAGGAGAAGATTAGAGTGTACAAACCGGAGGCGGTGGCTTTGGTTGGGAAGGGTATTTGGGAGAGTGTGTGGAGGGTGAAGAAGGGGAAAGGGATTACGAAGGATCAATTTAAATATGGGTGGCAGTCAGAAGAGGAAAACTTGGGGGTTCTGGAGGGCCAAGGTTCTTGGAGAGGGGCAAGAGTTTTTGTGGCATCTAGTACGTCTGGATTGGCAGCATCGTTGTTGCCTGCCGAAAAAGAAAAGATATGGAGGGAATTGGGATCTTGGATTGAGCAGAAGAGAAAAGAAAGAGATAACATATTTAGAGTGAAAGAAGAACCTCCTGATAGTGGTTGAGTTATCTACTCCAAGTTTGTACATTGCCACTTCTCCGTTGACTGCATTAATCTATCAAATCCAGATGGTGAAAATAGTCGAAGCCCAGAAAAATTACAGTTTGTCGTGACATCCAATTCAGAGCAATAAGTCAAACTGGTATCATCATCATCATCATCATCATCATCATCACTAAGATAGCACTATTACAATATCTCAAGAACAACCTTTCCCCGAACCCTCCCAGTCTCAATTAAATCTATAGCCCTATTCCAGCCCTGATTCTCCTCATTCAATGCATCCCTAATAACTTCTTGAATCTCGATCTTCACTTCCCCTCTTTCTGCCAAACCAACGACCCTCTCTAGATATTCGGACTTACTATGAAGCGACACAACAGCATAACGAGGACCCCATATCCAACCTGCCACATAGCGCCAGATCTGCACGGGATTTTTGAGGTATGTTATAGAACCTACAAGTCCCTTCATATCGGTTTTGTCGCCAACTGTGGTGACATATGCTCCCTTGGTATGGAGAAGCTCATGCTGTATGCGATTGTAAGTAATGATTTTCGAGTATTATATTATGAAGGGACTTATGTATGAGGGTATGAGCTCCGTTCCACCAACGCAGTCTATGAGTAGGTCGAATTCAGTTGAGGCAGTTTTGCTATCGAGTAATGTTTGAAGAACTGAGGTTGAGGTATAATCGATCACTTCATCGGCCCCTAGACCTTTGACGTAGTCCAAATTTCTGCTAGAACATATGGCGGTAACGTGACAATTGTAAAGATTCTTTGCCACTTTGAGGTTTGTTAACATCATCATATGGCAGGCAGGAGGTTGCACAAGAGATACCAGTAGACTTACATTGTACAGCCCATAAACCACATCCTCCAGATGCTCCCCGCACAATCACCTTCCTTTGAGAATCTCCCTTGCTCGCAGGTAACCAATCCAACGCCGCAAACATCGTCAATGTCACGAGGGGTATTGATGCAGCAGCTTCATGTGATAGACAATTGGGCTTCTTGACCACTGGGTCTGAAGCTGGGTCAACTGCAATATATTGACTGAATGTTCCTTGCCCGAACTATCTTCCTTATCAGTACCACGGTTTGTACTCGAAGAACCCGAGAAATTAAAATAAACATACAACTTGATATAACAAACCAAAAACTTCATCTCCAACCGACCAATTTCCCTTCATCTGATCTTCAATAGCTACAATTGTGCCCGAGAAATCACGACCCATACCCTTGGAGCCAGAGACAACCGAAACTATGCCTGCGCGCCATAATTGTGTATCAACAGGATTTATAGACGCAAAATGAACTTTGACTAGAAGGGTCTTTGGGGTTTGAATAGATGAGATGTTTTGTTCTTCAACTGTAAGAGGTCCTGCAAGGGTATGAAAGCGTAGAGCTTTGTAAGTGGAAGGGAGAGATGTCATGCTTGGATGAGGATACCGATATTGTGGTTATACTTGGCTTGACGTTAATGGTGTCTGGGACCTCGTCTCTGTTTCATATTCTTCTTGTATGATCTTTTGGATGAAGTATGAAACGTCACGGTGAACCCATGGATTCATGTGTGGCATCGAATTGTCTTAAGAATGTGAAATGAGGGGGAACTCATATGTATTGAGGTCCGAGAGATGTTCTGGAGGATCTTCATGCAACCGTATCATTGCTTCACCTCGAAATAGTATTCATCTGAAACTCTCAAATGAATTGAATACCATATTAACTGATTAGGAAGACATTAGTTTATAAGGAAAAATCATAACGTGGTTTATCAGTACGTGGATCATATCAGTACATGGATCACTTTTACCTCAATTTACAACTTTCAACTTCAACACACGATTTATCAACAATCTACGATGTAATCGAACAATAAAGAAGGTCGAATACTTTTAGTTATTGAAACTATTCAAAAAGACAAAAAATTAAGCTATCGAAAAGCTTCCAAGCTATACAATATACTATATACAACGTTTATCCACAGAATAAACAGTTTTATCTTTTGTACAGAATATTAATCAAAAAATCATAATATTACAAAAATGGAAGAGGAAACATTTATTCAATATATTATTAATATAAATAATCAAGGGTTTATACCTAAATTAAGTAATATAGAAGATATAGCGAATTATATTCTTGAATCAAAAAATACAAAAAAGATTGGAAAACTCTGGGTTCATCGATTTATAAAGCGTTATATAGAATTAAAGATACATTTCAATCGTATTTATGATTTTCAAAAAGCTTTTTGCAAAGATCCTAAGCTTATTGAAAAATGGTTTCGATTAGTATCGAATATATAGATCAAATATAATATTCAGGATTATGATTTTTACAATTTCAACAAAACCGGTTTTATAATAGGTATAATATACTCTGGAATAGTTGTAACTGATGCTGAACGGTGTGGTAAAAGCAAAGCAATACAGTCAGGTAATCGAAAATAGACTATAGTGATTATATATAGTAATAGAGAGAATGAAACTATATCTCCATTTTTAGTGATACAAGAACAATATCACCTTTTTAATTGATATACTAAAACCGATTTACTGGCAAATTGGATTATTAAACCTACTAGCAATGGATAAACGAATAATGAGACAGGTTTAGAATGGATAAAGTATTTCAATAAATATACAATCCATCAAAAAACGGGTAAATATCGAATGCTAGTATTGGATAGGCATGAAAACTACAAATCGATATCTTTTCAATCATACTGTACGGAAAATAATATTATATATCTCAAATTACTATTGTATTCAAATCATTTAACTCAGTCATTGGATATTGGATACTTTAGTGTATTGAAACGATTATATGGTTCTCAGATTGAAGGATTTATCAAGGCTTATATTAATCATATCTCAAAGGTTGAATTCTTTATAGCTTTCAAAGCTGTATATCAATAATCGATTATAATTCAGAATATGAAAGCTGGCTTTCAAGGAGCAGGACTAATATTATTTGACCCTCAAGCCATACTCTCGAAATTAGATATTCGAATTCATACACCTAACCCTTTATTTACTTCCTCGGAACCTGTCGATTCTTGGGTCTCTCAAACACCTCACAATCCAACTGAAGCTCTTTTATAATCGACTTTAATCAAATCTCGAATATATTGTCATCAATCAAACTCTTCTACACCTATATTCGAAACTATACTAACTTTAACTAAAAGTATAAAAAGATTAGTATATGAGAATATACTTTTAAGTACAGAAATCTGTATATTTCGAAAAGCAAATGAGATATTAAATAAACATCGATATACAAAAAAGACTCAATTATATCAAGAAAAAATACTTATTAGATAAGAGACTATAGATATATTATCTCAGCAAAAGATTAATATTCAGATTCTATACGATAAGCATCAAAATGGAGCGAATTCTAATAGGGAAGTATTTTCTAATAGATGCTATAGTAAGTGTAGAAAACCAGTTTATAATTCAAGAACTTGTTCTAGTAATGTAATAGATCCTAGATTATTATATTCCTAATAGTTTCAATCAATTGATTCAATTGTTGTTGAATAATATGGTTTTGAAGTTGTAAATTGAGGTAAAAGTGATCCACGTACTGATATGATCCATGTACTGATAAACCACGTTATACTAATAAAGAGATAATATCTTACAATCAAGATTATAACTAATGCTAAATATTATTATATTTTTAATTTAGTTTCAAATCTATTATTAATCTTTAGCTTATTTTTATAACG